GAACCCCAATATAAAGATCTGCAAAAAACCCACTGAGGACTCTGACTCCTCCTTTACCCGGTCTGCATGGGATCAGAAAACCTGCACTGTGGTCGTCCTGACTTTACAGATGGATATTTCATTTGTTCTCATTTTTTCTCAAAAAAAGTTCTGTACAACACATGTGTCCACATATTTTTATGCATTTGTTCTAGTGTAACTTATGGGATGTTTTCTAGAAATGGAATTGATGACTGTAGTGCAACCAGGTGCAGGGCAGATAGATTAATTGTTGATTAGGGCAAATGAATAAAGGGTTTTGGATCCCTCTGTAGATTTGAGAGGCTGTAGGGTAAATGGAAGTTATCAGGTTTTTCCGCCCTCTCCACATTGGCATCAGTGATCAACATCTGTGGTCTTACATGCATGCCTGATGGCGGCACCTGGAGTGTGGTGTGGTGTGCGTGAGTAGGTGCACCTGAGCCGGGAGACTGGGCATATAAGGGCAATGGACTAAGCGGCGAAGTGCAGGAGAGACTACTGGTGGGCCCAGAAAAAGTAAAGATTTGCCGGGGGCTGGGAGGCCTGGGCTCCCAGGCCTCCCTGCCTGCCCTGCACTTGGTTGCCGCACTACAAATAGTGTAGAAAGATCATTAAAAGCCTGAAAAAGCCATGGAGGGCTGCAGGACTCTCCTCTACCCGTCTGCCTAGATTGTAGAAAAGCTGTTCCCTGACTTACTGGCTCTACAGAGGCCTTTAATGCTGAAGCAGGAAACCTGGTACACAGGCTGATCAGGTGCCAGGGAGGCTGTGAAGCAGGCAGGCAGAGACTAAGTCTCCGAGTTTCGCCATCCACCCCCAAATCTCTGTGCTTGTTCCTGGCTTCTCCCTGCCTTCTCTTAGTCTAACCAATCTCCTTATCTCTCTGCCTGGGTTCCATACCTATCGGTAAGCATGCCCCGTATTGTCCGGCCTTCTGGCCGTGTGTCTGTAATCACGGGCGTGTGTGTCCTGTGCTTGCGCTCCCAAGTGCCTTCTGCAATAACACATTATTGTGTGTGGGTAATGAAACCTGGGAGGAAAGCAAGGCCTCAGGTGGTGGCTGTAGAGGCAAGCATGGGAGGCGAAAAGGAGCCTGAGCCACTCTATTTTCCTTACAGTGGATCGAAAGCCAGGTGTCAGATGTTGAATATTTTTGAATAGCTTTCTAAAAAGATTGGTACTCTTTCTTACAGTCTCACCAAGAGTGGGATTTTCCACATTGTTATTTAAAGTTTTATTTTGGAGGGATGTTTATTTTTGTAATATGTTTTGATTGTTAACAGTTTATATGACTTGGAGATTACATCTAAAGAGATACATCCCTTCAGATACATGTTACTGAAACTGGAGACCCCTCACCTCAGTGCAAGCAGCAACAGGTGGTGGGCAATTTACTGCCTGCCACCAGGGGCCCCCCGGGACTTAGGCTGTTGGCAGAGGCCAGCAGTGAGGGCAAACAGCAGTGATTTCCTCTACCACATCACCCCAGGGCATGCAGCCCCTAGGGCCCAGCAGGCCAGTGCCAGTGCTGTGGCTGCCCCTAGCTGCAGGCAGCAGAGAGGCTGGAAGATTTGGTGCCTGAATCATGAAATGGAACAGTCATGTGTGAGCTATGAGCTGGTTGGTGCTGTGGTCCAATCAGCTATAGGATTGAAACTGTTCTAATCAGATTGGTAGGTGAGAGAAGAGATAAGGCAGGACAGGATCCAGCTTAGGACTCACTAGACTCTCAAGCTTGCTTGTACTCACTCACTCACTTTGCTTTGACCGGACACCTGCTTGCTCACAATTGGAAGGAAAAAGAGAAACTGAAAATCTTTGCAGAGAAGCCCAAAAGCTTCACAAAGGCTTGGTCAGCCAAATCTGCCTCTGGTCTTCCTATGACATCACCTGATAGGAGCACCAGGCCTTGGGCTTGGTGTCTCAAGGGGTTGTTTATTGTTGGTGTGGGCCAACAACTCACAAAGAGCTATAACACTGTGACAGGTGGTCACTGCTGATGACCAGAACTACTGGCCAGTGCTGTCCAGCCCTGTTGATGGGCAACAGACACTGTGTCCAGGTCACTTCTGAAAGCTGTTCCTGGTGCTGTTGTGTCTGTTGCTGTCTGGGCCAGTATTTGGTGCTGTACATTCTGACCTTCATACTGTTGCTGGGGTGGCTGCTGCTGCATCATCGCAGCGGCCGTGCGTGCCTGTGAGTGCCTCCAGCTGCGATGAGATGGAACCTGGCCTGCTTGCTGCTGGCTGGAGCATCGTGAGCTCCAGGATCTAGTTGATGGGACAGTGCCATCTTAGATGAGCAGCTTTTGTTTAGGACTTTTGGACACTCTCTTGGGTGAAATAGCTGACCATTTATGACCTTAGAAATTCCATTTACCCTGTTTGTTAAATAAACCCTGTTGTTCCCTGAGCTTGCAATTGTGTGTATGGGTGAAGAACGCACAGTGACCTGTCAACACCAGCTCTGTCCTGTTGACCTGCTGTAGCCCCCAGTAGCCCTGTTTCATTACCACACTACACCCTTCACCAGAGTACCCTAAATATCTTTGAAATTAATTCTGAATTATAGGTGGGAAAAGCCAAGGCATTTAAATATAATTTTGCTTATTAATGAGGGTTTGTATCTTTTCATATTTTTATTGCTCATTTGTATTTATCCTCACAATTTTTCATGCCCTTCCTCATTTTGTAAAAGTCAGACTTTCTCTCCTCACTAATTAGTGTATTTCCACATTTTCAGTCCCTACTGGCATTGTAACCTCTCTGTGGGCATTTCCACGAACATCATCATCTCTATCAGCCACAAGAATCTGTGGCTGTTTTTAGGGTAAACTTTCTGAAACACCTATATACATGAAGAAAGTATGCTTTGTGTAAGTGTTTTCTCCTTGATTTTAAAGTTCTACTCAGGGATTGCTGAATCTTTTCTAAAGACTCAGTTAATAAATATTTAGGTTTTCAGCCTATATTCTAATAAAACCTTACTATGGACACCGAAGTTTCAATTTTATATAACTTTAATGCAACGTGAAATTTTTTTCTTATGATTATTTTGCCTCCACAAACATTTGAATATGTAAAAATGATTTTTAGGTCATGTTGTACAAAAACAGGTGATGGGCTCTATTTGGCTAGCTGACTCTGGTTCACCACTCTGGCATCATACTGTTTCTATTCAAACCACTGAGACAAAGGGTCAGAGACCAGTGTCCTTACTTGTTAGCCACTAAGGTTATGGGCAAGCCTACATTTGATTTGTCTGATATTCTGAACTTTTGAACTGCTGCACCTAAGTCTACAAATTTAGTTTTACTTTTTTTTAAGTTATTGTGAAATGTGGGATTTATTATGTAAAATTTCCTATTCTTGGAGATAGTGACATGTTCTATGTATAGTAAGCATTCCATAAATACTAATCTCTCAGTCTGTCTTGAATGGGCTCATTTTGATGTTTGATATAGGGGTATATTTGCTGTCTAATGTCTTTGAATAAAGAATTGCCAACAAAGTGATTTAGAGTTTAGTGTAAGTTTTTCATATTATATATAAAAACAATTCCAAAGGGCCTCCCTGGTGGCATAAAGATTAAGTCTCAGTGCTATCATACTATCACTGCTGCAAACTAAGTTCGATCTCTGGCCAGGGAGCTAACCTCTATGTGGCATTGCAGACCTCTCCAGTCTTGCCTGCTGTTCCCATTAGCAGTATATTTCAGTAAATCTGCCTGTTCTGCTCCCCTGTCTCTGGTGAATCCTCTCACCCCCTGCACCTCTGATCTATACCCCAGTTCTTTTATGCATAAGTAAATAAATCTTTAAAAAATAAAATGAAATAAAAACAATTAATACCAAACACTGCAATTATTTTACAGAAGTACTGTAATACCATTAGAATTTCTGTTTTTCTCTTTCTCTTGTGGAAATTGTTATATTGATGAATTTAGTTTGATCTAAAACAAAAGATTATTCAGAAAGTCTTTGCCCAGTCTACAGTCTCCTAATACCTTGCACCTAACCAGTCTCCTGCCCTTCATTTTTCCCACGTGAAGAGTTCAGATTAGTTTTCCTCTCCTCAAGCTGAAATTCACTATATTCTTATAGAACATTCAAAATTATGACATTAGAGTGAATTTCATTATTTTATACAGCAGAAATGATTACTGCCATTGTCCCCAAAAGACAAAATAGAAATCTTTTTTGGTACAAGTCTCTTTGTGTGTGCCTCTTCACTGACATCTAGTGCTTGATTCTGGCAGTGCCAGAGGAAAGTGGCTACTAAAGGATACCATTTACAGTTAAATGAGTTCTATTTTGTACTGAAATTTAGTGCAGCATAATATATAAATAATAAAATTATTACTGAAGTTCAGTGAGCTTCTTTATACTCCAACTTTATATATTTCTGCTTCCATTAAATTTAGATCTTGGTATCTCTGCCTTCTATTTGAGAATCACTTCTGAGGATCATAAATAATTAAGATAAATGACATCAGCTTTCAAATGTGTTACATATTTTGTTTATATTAAAAATAATGAATGATGGCGCGCAGACCTCTCCTGCCGCCCGCTGCTCCCCTCAGCAGTGTACTTCGGTCCTTCTGCCTGCTCTGCTCCCTGCTCTGGCTCTGGTGAATTCTCTCGCCCTCCCACGCTTCTGACTGTGCCCAGTGCATGTATAAACAAAAACAAAAACAAACAAAAAAAAAATAATGAATGAGGCTTGTGTAGAATCAGACCACATTACAAGTTAAAACTATTTTTTCATTTGCATATGAACTAATTTATGTGAGATGCCATCTTCAGAAGAGACTTTGGCCAGTAGATGGTAATAAAGCAGTGTTGGCATCAGTCTTTTCTTAAATGGGTTTTATGTGTGATGTAGGATCATATGTGAAATGAGTCACACTACTTTATATCTTGCGAAAAAGAACTTTCAACAAAGTGTGATTTAGAATTTAATGTAATTTTTTTTGTTGTATACACTAATGACAAACATGCAAATCCAAATTTTTAATCACTTCCCTGTTAACAGGTATGCCGTGCAACTGCATAATCATATTTAATTTGTTTTTCTTGCCAAGAGAAATTTTCATTTACCCGAGTAGCAAGTAGTTTCTAGAAGCTAGTTGATAAAAGTGTCAATGATGGTATTGTATTTACTAAAGTCAAAATATTAGTAAAACTGGTTTCTCTAGTGTTAGGAAATAATAAGTTTTTGGCATTAGAATATCTCAAAAACAACTTATTTTAATATTTGCTACTTATAATATTAAATAAAATTTAAGGTTATTTGTGATTTCTGCTATTTTTATTGGAAAGGTATTTTTTAAACTGCTATCCTTTTAATGAAAAGTTTTAAAAATCTAATACAATTACCATTTCATTTAGTTTAAATCTACTGGGTTTTTGCCAATAATTAAAATTAGTAGTTAATATTCTTTGTCCCACTTAAATTATTATAATGGGTATCACATTTGATCAGGGTACTAGACTGTTTTAGATCTTAATACATATATCTTTTGGTGATAACATTCTTTCCTTGTTTGTTTTTAATAGGTTGATAATAATGTGATCAAAAATTTATTATTATTTAAAGAATTATAGTAGGGGTTATTATAGAGTTATTACCCATTTTGCCAAAACTCTGTAAATCATCAATTCTGTCTGTGTAGCTGTGCATGCGTTTTAGTAATTAGATATAGTTTGTCATGCTCTGCAGCTACATGTTTGAGTATTGTTCTACATTTTAAGATAGCTTTTAATACTGGAGAAGCAAGTAAAATTACTTTTGTAGTCTGTAGTTGTTTCCAGAGTCATGGTTATTAACACAGCTACTTCTTAGTCAGCATTAGTATTTTTATATAGTGCTTTCCTTTTAAGTGTTCAGAACACTAACTGATTGAGGTATTTCCTCAGTTTGTTTACATTGGTGTTTCTTCATTTGGGTCATCGCCATTCTGTCCTTTTTTCCTGTTTTCTTGGGATGGAGATGTTACAAAATTGGAGCACTTCAGCATACTCATCAAGGAATTTTTGAAGGACTTGCAAAGGAAAAAGTAGATGAATGGATCCAAGCAGGCATTCAAGGAAGTTAGCCAGAGAGTGCTTTCTTTCACATAGAATAAAGTGTTCTCAGCAGAGCAGTCAAAGACATCTCGGGTTTGACTCAGAGTATAAGGAATTCGGGCAAAATGGAAAGGAACAAAACAAATAAAGAACACAGCAATGATAATGAAAACTTTGATGTTCACCTTTTTCCTGGGGGCTTTCCCCATGCCCCTTGTTCTAACATAGGACCTGTATAGTTCTTTTGTAATGAGTGTGTAACATACAATGACAATTAAAAAATTAATCCAGAAAATGACTTGACAGATATAATTGACTATTTCATGCCAGACCAAACCAAATTCTGATTTGAGGAAAGAGCATTTCTTCACATTCTTGTCTTTTGGCCGCTTGTTGGTCAGAATCATGTTAGGCAGAGAAAGTAAGAACATGAATACCCAGATGATGACAGAGAGAATCTTAGCCCCCAAGAGATTTTTGGGGTTGGATGTTTTAAATGGTCTGGTGGTTTTCTGATATCGATCAATTGTTATCAGTCCTAAGAATGAAATGCTGATATACATTGTGAAATAAAATATGACGGAGGTCACTTGGCACACAAAGGTTCTCAGGGGTCCAGTTCCTAGCTTGGCATCACTGAGGATTTTGAATGGAAAGGTCAGAATCATGAGAAGATCGGAGATGACTGTGTTCTTAAGAAAAATTATAAAGTTAGATTTACTGCGAATTTGAAAGAAAATCCTCATTGCCAGGCTGTTCATGATAAGTCCAATGATAAACAGGACAATATAGAGCAGAGGGAAGAGGACCTGGGTGATTTTGTAATCTCTGGCACACAGGCTTCCATTTCCAGCTGCAGAAGTTAGATTGTCCATGACCTGAACTTCTTCCTGCCTAGAGAAAGAGGGGAGGCATGGTTATTTTCAGTCCTGGGAAGTTGATTTTGCTGTTATCTCACTGTGCAACTTTTCAGGACAACCTTCAGTGAAAATTGAAGTTTCTGAACATCAATATGGCAGTTAGAACACAAAAAATTGTATCTTGAAATATTTCACCATGGTAAATAGTTCATCTCTAGCAAAGTAAAATGATCTGAACTACATTATTTGAAGGAATGGGTACTTTGCATTTCTTATTTGTTGAATGCACGCCGTTCATAAATCATTTTGATTTTAAGCAAAAGTCCAAGTATAAAGATACATGTACATAGAAACTGGGAGAGAAATATTTGGGCTATGACCTCCATTTGCTTCCACCCTTGAGCTTTTAGTTTCTACTTACAAAAGTCACTTTTCGAACATCATCCTTATTCCTGAACTTTATCTTGATTAAAGGGTATGAAGGATAAAAGATGGATACAATTTTAAAGTAAAAAGTACAAAGAAATTTGTGTAATGTCACTTGTGGGAAACATTAAATGCTGAATAAAAAAAAAATCCTTTATAATTGTTAGATATTCTTTCCTGTGTTGCTTAGTCATCCATTCAAGAAATGGCCTCACAGATAATCTAGTTTTTAGCTTCAAATATTCTAAATCATGTATATCTTACTTCCAACTTTGCTCAGTGTTTTTGAAGATTCTAAATACATTTTCTTGAACACATTTATTACTAATTTTTATTTTTTTTAAAGATTTATTTATTTATTTATTTGAAGATTTATTTATGTATACAAGCACTGGGTACAGTCAGAAGCGCGGGAGGGTGAGAGAATTCACCAGAGCCAGAGCGGGGAGCAGAGCAAGCAGAAGGACCCAAGTACACTGCTGAGGGGAGCAGCGGGTGGCAGGAGAGGTCTGCCAGCCATGCGGGACCCTCCTCTGGTGGCCGGGAGCAGCAGGGGATCGAACCAGCTCTGCAGAGGCTGCGGGCAGCTTTGCAACCCAGCGTCAACCTCTGCGCCACCGGGGAGGCCCTATTACTAATTTTTAAACAGTGAAAACGTAAGGCAGTGGTGTCTGAATATCACCAACCGATGGCATTCTTCCAAGTAGCAAGGACATAGTCTCTAGGTTTATCTAGTGTATAACAATAGCTAGAATAAAGTATCAAAAGCATTTCCTGGTCTGATTTCATAGGTTGTTACACCACAACAGGCAGCTATAAAGAAAACTAACACTTGATTATATTAGATGTTTAGAATTAAAATTAAATTTGTAATATTTTAATTAACCAAAACCAAATATAATTGATTCTATATGAAATAATATTCTTAAATCTAAGGCACAGAAATGTTACAAGGACAATAAATACAAATTCTATAAAAAAAGATTTAAATGTGACAAACATAGGTAGCACTAAATTCTCCAGAATATCAGTGAACTTCTTATTTCCATCCTTTAATTATTGAAAGTAAAATACTAAGATACATGTCACAATTATGCTTTCAGTTTTCAACACCTCATCTCTTTAACTTAAAAAACAGCTAAACAGAACAGCTAAACAGAATTCAGTATTTATTGATAGAAGATCTCTGATTTTAATCCACTCTACTACTGCTATTTGATTTTAGTTGTGCATTCTCTAATAGATTCAGAAATTCTGCTTTGGTAATCCTCTTTTCTATATACACTAAGACTTGTTTAACAGGAACTCATGCTATTGAGAATTTCAAGTTCCCTTTATATAATAAAACCTTTTATATTTAAATCTTATTATACAGTCAAGATAAAATAAATAAGACTATTTGTATTTTCTTTCCATGTGCTGTATAATTTTTTTCTAATGAAAAGGTTGATGGGTTTCCTAACACCATTGATGCAGCTTGATTTTAATTTATATTCCATTCAAGTGCTTGCATTGACTTTGTTATTAACAACCCCCAATTTTAAGAAAAGTTAAAAAAGTTACACATCACAGTGCAAATACATATGCTTGTCATATATTTCTCGATATAAAGTTACCTGATTACTTTGTTGATTCTGAAGGATTTGAATGTATCCAGTAGATGGTAGTTAATGCAATCTGCAGAGAAGTGGCATCTGGTATTTTCCTTTTAATGTCTTAGTTTAGTTGTTAAAACTGTCATGAGTGAGAATTTGCTGAGCTTTCATCAGTAGAGTCTTGAGTATTCTAGAAAAAAAAAAATAGAGGAAAAGAATAGAAGAGAGAACTTCACAATCAGAAATTACCTTCAAACGCGGTGGCCCAAAAGCTGTGCAGACACTGTATTTCCGTCTGTCTGCTTTTAGGACTTCTGCTTTTATTTCCCTGGGAAGTGTGGGGCAGGATGGGTGAAAAGTCATCTCTAAAAAAGCAATTTAAAAATCTTGTGGCTTTTTACTGAAGCCCGCCATAGTGTTGATGCTTTATGGGTTCTTTTGGTTATTTTCCATGCAAATGACAAATCCAAGTTTAGATCAAGCCTTTTGAAGTCAGCATCCTAGAGAAGGTTGCAAGTTTGCTTTCACACACGATTATTTACCTGAAAATATATTGTGCTCAACATTGGGTGATAAATTACCTTTTAACAAGTAATTACATTAACTGAAAAAAGCTTGCTTGTTAGGGAGGTTAAGTATCATGCTCTTTGTTTTTTTCTCTGGTTAATAATGTCATTTATTTTAAATCTGTGTTTGATCAGCTCTTTGTAGGCAAAACAGTTTCCTCCCATTATCAATTACAAGATTGCAAAATTGCATTAGAAAAGAAAAACAGTTGTATCTATTACTGGGTTTACTGTATAGAGAATATTCATGCTTTTCTTGAATAGAGTTTAAATACTAAGAATTTTTTTTTATCTAGCTTTAGTTTTTGAGTGAAAATACATCATTAAATTAAAGGGTCTTTGTCCCTGTCACTTATAATTATAATATTGTGAGGGATGTTTGCACACACACAATTTTTTCAACTGTAATGTCCTCCTTTTACCAGCATAACCAGTGAAATAGTTGTCTTTATTGTGAACATATGTTTAGTTGCTTATTTCTTACAGTTCTCAAGTAGAAACAGCAGCTCGGCATCACCTGAGATGCCTTGAGAAGTACATTTTTGGGCATCAAACTAATTCCAATGAATAGAAACCCTAGGGTGCATCCCCATCTGTATTTTGATGAGTGGTTCAGGTTGCTCATACACACTAGAATTTAAGGACCACTGATTTAAACTGACATGAGAATTTTGTTGGCATTAATAATTTGAAGCCAGACTACAAATTTGACTCATTTCAGTTGGAAGTTTTAGTTCCATGATGATCTCATTTATTAGTAATCTGGAGGTGTCAGCTTGATAGTAAGCTCTTGGAAAAATGTATATTCTTAAGTTGTTTTTCTTTTTAAATTTGCTGCAGAAAACAAATTTGTTTTGGAGACACAAAATTAAACCTTTTCAAAGACCTTTTATGCTAATAACAGAACAATAATTGTTCAGAACAATAACAGTCAACATATGATTTCTTATATTGTCATGAATTAATTCATGTTATGATCTCAGCTATTCTGAAGTAAACATTCATGTTATTTCCATTCTGTGGATAATGGAAACTGAGGAGCAGTGCAGTGAAGATTAGAGGCCACATTTCAACCCATGCTGTCTGGTCTCACAGCCTGCACTGTGAAGAATTCTCCAAAGGCTCTCTTCCCCACTCTTCTCATCCTGGCCCATCTCATTGTCTTCTCAGTCCCTTCCCTGCCTCGGCAAAGTGAGGCCCATGAAAAGAATGGCTCAAGGAGCTAGGACTCGTGCTTGCCTTCACACCAGTCTATAAACTCTAGCGGAAGTTTATGAAGTCTTTCTCAGATCTTCAGATATAGTAAGACCTGTAGAAAAAAATTCATGACTATTTTCAACAAATTAATATGGCATACCACAGGAACACAGATTCCAAATTCTTAAACCCCATTACATCATTGACAATTTATATTTCCAAAGAAAGGGGATTTGAGGAATAAAGAAAATATTCCAGCTCATGATCTAAATTAACTTGATTTATTTCACTACCACACTTATCTGAGAACCTTCTGTGATGATACTCTCTCCTAGAGAATTACTGCCTCTTACCCATTTAGACCACTTGATCCCTAAAGTGATTAAAGTCTTTGAGTGAGAGTTGTCTCATGTTATAAAAGTATACTCTATGAATAGATGTAGAGTAAGTCATGTTGTTTATGCACTTTGTAATTGTATGTATTACTGTTAGGAATAGGACTAGCTTTGATTAATTTGATGGTTTTTGTGATATAGATGACTTAGAAAGATGACTAATTTATACCCCAAATTTTTTTATGCAAGTGGCTTTATTGCCTTACTTATTTGCTAAGCCTACTAAAGGTAGTCGGCTTAGCTGAAAATGTTTGCTTCCAGTAGAGGTTCTTAGGTAAAGGCTTTCCTTCAACATTTTGTTATAATGTTGGTGAGGGGGAAAAAAAAAATCCCAGCTGTTGTTGAATGAAACAAGGTGATTTCACTTAAAGTTGTAGTTTACACAATCCTATGGCAGATGTTAAATGAGGACTTCCTGTATTCTGAACTCAGAGGGCCATGCTGGGAAAAGGTAGCACTCTGTGATCCTTGTGGAGCCAAGTAGGAGCAAGAGAATGAATAATATAATTAAGCCATTAGACTAATTCTTAGGCTATCTTAGCTCCAGTTTTTTATAATCTAAATGTGTCTAGGTTGGGGCCTCCCCGGTGGCGCAGCGGTTGAGCGCTGGGTTGCGAAGCTGCCCGCGGCCTCTGCAGCGCCGGTTCAATCCCCAGCTGCTCCCCGGCCACAGGAGGAGGGTCCCACATGGCGCAGACCTCTCCTGCCGCCTGCTGCTCCCCTCAGCAGTGTAATTCGCTTCTGCCTGCTCTGCTCCTCGCTCTGGCTCTGGTGAATTCTCTCACCCTCCCGCGCTTCTGACTGTACCCAGTGCATGTATAAACAAGCAAACAAACAAACAAACAAATAAATAAATAAACATGCCTCTAAATGTGTCTAGGTTGACATTAGTAAGTGTTGTGATTGAGCATATACATTTTTAAGGTGGTGCTCACTGTTTCTTCTAGCTGAGCTTTATCTTGTAGAATATAGAAACTTAGGTCAGATATAAGGCAGTTTCCAAAAGTAAGGAGTCTTGGGCATTGAGGTATTTAGCAAAAGAGACTGTAACCTATGGTGATCCAATTATTCAGCATCCCTGTCTTTTGAGAGTTTTGCTTAAAAGCAGAGTACTGTTAAATATACTTAACCCCCTTGACATCCATTATATTCCTAGGATGCATCTAGTTTCTGGCCTCATTTTAGGCATACTGGGGACAGTGAGATATTTTAGAACAAAATTTTCCTATACAAATCTGGTTAAAGGAGTCTCCTATTTTCTTGATTTAAAGAAAATTTACTTTCATTCAGGTACAGTTTTTTATTGAGAAGCTGCTGAATTTTTTGTTCCTTTCACACAAGCTCCCCAAACATGTGCACACGATTCTTACACCCAGTCCAAGGGTCATTACTTATGAAACATTTATTTGAAGTTATTCTAAATACTGTAGTAGTGTGGTATCTTGAAAGAGAAAGACCAAGGAAATCATGTTTGAAGATTAACTTAAATAATTTTTAGTAAATATTTTAAAGTGGGTTTGACTGTATTTTAAAAAAAGATTTATTTTTATTTGTTTATACATACAAGAACTGGGATGTAGGCCAGAAGTATAGGGGTGGATGAGAGGATTCACCAGAGTCAGAGTGGGGAGAGGGACAGGCAGATCTACTGAAATACACTGCTCAGGGGAGCAGCAGATGAGACAGGAGATGTCTGCTGCACCATGTATGTTAGCTCCCTGGCCTGAGATCCAACTCATGCTTCAGTGACTGCTCATAGCTGAGACTTAACCCCTTGCGCCACCAGGGGGGCCCAGATTTGACTGTTTTTCTCAGAGATGAGGTAGTAGTCTATGAAATATATTTCATCATGCATCTAGGTTTGCTTTTGATATTCAAACATGCTAAATTGAAGAGTGCCGAGGGCATATATAATACTAAGTTTTGTTTTATCAGGACAATTACATCTACATCAGTATTTCAGTACAGTGTAGAAGAAAAGGAAGCACATTTGCAGTAAGGTTCTTTTTTTATTTCCCATTAAAAAGAGCAATTTATTAATTTGAAAATTCTATGATTGTAGAAATATCAGGAAATATAAATAAGGTGAAAGGAGAGCACAAAACTGGCAGTCTCCCCAACTTTCTACATCTATGTAAACAGACACACATTTGACAGCATTTATAGTCACTTATTTTATTTTAAAGAAATGAGGCTGTCTTGGGGTAGATTTCAGTTAACTCCAGTTTTTCCTTCAAAGAATATTTAACTTGAGAGATCTATTTTAATTTCAGGATTCAACATGCCTTCCAAGGTGTTTAGAAGTTTATCCTCCTAGTTTCTAATCTTTGTGAGTGTGAGATGTTATCTGGAGAAAGAAAGATTTTCAGAGCTCAGTTAAGAGGGGAGATGATGATTGTATCCAAGGACAGCAACAGGTCATCATGCAAGTGATACCAAGACTTGTGTGGACTCCTCAGTTGATTCTTTCTCCTACACAGAAAATGTGTCCTTCAGGGAGTAAGTAATAAAGTATTTCTTTGGTCCTGATCACCAATCATTAATATTACAGTTATGCAATTTTTTATAAGATTTATCTATTTATACAAGACTGGGGTACAGGCCGGATGTGCAGCAGGGTGAGAGGATTCACCAGAGACAGAGTGGGGAACAAAACAGGCAGACTGACGAAATACACTGCTGAGGGGAGCAGCGGGCGAGACAGGAGAGGTCTGCTGCGCCATGTGGGGCCCTCGCTGGCCGGCCAGGATCCAACCCGCGCTGCAGAGGCTGCGGACAGCTTCACAGTGTTACGTTAAAGCACCTACGCTACCAGGGAAGGCCCCAATTATGCAATTTGAGAGTGTTTTACTACAAACTTGACAAGTAGAATTCAGTGGTAACATTGGGAATATTTGTTCCATTTTCTCAGGCAAGCTTTATTCTCATGCAGTATAAATTGTTTTTGAAGATTTATACATTCTCTATTTGTACAAAAATTGATAAAAACAAATTGTGTAGGGCCTCCCCGGTGGCACAGTGGTTGAGCGCTGGGTTGCGAAGCTGCCCGCAGCCTCTGCGGCTCCGGTTGGATCCCCGGCTGCTCCCCGGCCACCAAAGGAGGGTCCCACATGGCGCGCAGACCTCTCCTGCCTCCCGCTGCTCCCCTCAGCAGTGTACTTCGGTCCTTCTGCCTGCTCTGCTCCCCGCTCTGGCTCTGGTGAATTCTCTCACCCTCCCGTGCTTCTGACTGTACCCAGTGCTTGTATAAATAAATAAAAATAAATCTTTAAAAAAAAATTGTGTAAGCTGTTGCAAAACAGTTGCTTTTAAAATATCTTTGCCTTTCCATCTTAAAAACTAGTAGTATCTTTTATAATTTCGCTAAAAATATTAATTATCAAACACAAATATAGTCTTCACACTCCATTGAGAAGTGAATTAATTGTTCGTTTCCAGCTTCTTCCATTCTGTTCTTGTTTCTTTTTAAATCCACCCTCTTTCAACTCATGACTTTGCTTCATGCTTGATTCCCTGAGCACTATCAAAACTAATGAAGGATCCAAGCTTCTTCAAGTTCCATGTCCTCACAATTTTCCCTAATATTTTTTGCTGTTAATTAGAAAGATGTCCCTGTCTTTCTTTCCAAGTTAATCCAGACAAGAAATCATGATCTCTCCCCTTTCCTTTATCAGTTATCTCCCCGCCAGTCTGCTTTTCCTTAATGAAGACTCCTTTATTTGAAACATAACTTGAAACAAGAGTTTATTACTAATGATCCTAATAAAACTTTCTCTTTGCTCTCAAGCTATTGTTTTTCATGGCCAGTTGCTCGTAAATGTGTATTACTTCCTCATTTCCACCATTTCATTATACACTCTTATTTCAATCCCTTGTAACTTGCTTTCTTCCTCTACCACTCTCTTTTGAGTTCTTCAGTCAGATTGGCCACATTCATTGAATTCCTAACTATGTTTGCTGCTAATGATGGTCCCATTTTTAAACATCCCTTCCCCTTACGTCTATGACCCTTCACTGTCTGGTCTTCTTGCTAATTACAGCATGTATGCACCATCTGATGATTTCTTTTATCTCCTTCCCTCTCAGCTCTCTTTGTTCTTACCCCTCTAAAGAGAAGTTGGGAGGTTTTATCCCCTCCCAATAACTTACTGTCTTACTCCTGACTCTCCCTCTTCTCAGTCTCCATGCCAGACCTCCTCCCTTCTATCATCTGTTCCACCTGCCCCTTAAATTCTTCTTACCTAAAAGTGAATTCATGAGCTGCTGTCCTTACAACCTGTTATTTTCTCCCCTCAGCAGCTTTTATCTAGTGAGGCCACCTGAAATCCAGGGAGAGGAAGATTCACTGTGATACCTGACCCCTTCTTAACTTCCTTCCAATACCCAGATAGCTCTTGATTTTGCTGCTTTTTTCTTTTTGTTACCACTGAAACCTAGTTTACACCCTATTTTTTTCTCTTTCTTTTGCTTCTTATTTCTCCCCTGAAGTTTCATCAGCACTTAAGTTTCAGGTTAAGTTGCCTACAAAACTAGTTTTTGTTCTTAGCTTCATTTCTGCCCAATTCCTTTAGTCATGTGCTTTATTGTAGTCCTCTTATTATTTCATATATTCAACAAGCATTAAGTGCCTAATAGGTGCCAAGTAGAGACTATAAATGTGAATAAAATATGCCTGGGCTTTATCCTTGCCAAATGGACGTTGCAGAGGGAATGGCAGACATTAAACAAATGGCTAGGCAGGGTGAGAATTACACTGTGAAAAATGCGCCAGAAGACTTTCTTCCCTTCACTACTTCTTCTCTGGTGAGACTTGCACTAAACTCTGGTGAGGGAATAATGGGCCTGATGCTGTCATTGTGCATAGCATTTACACCAGTGAACTGGAAAAGATTTTTTGGTAGTAGGAGTACCAACATCAAAGGAAGTGCCCCAGGCTTTTTGGGGAATGTTGAGTAATGCAGTACAGGGTGGCTGTGGGGAACACACACAGAAAAATAAATGTATGGAAATGTGAATGGACAGCAGTGAGTGCTGTGTCTGATATGCTGCTGAACATTTTGCATACTTCATCTCAATTATTCCCACAACAGCTTTGCAAGGAAGATGGTGTTACCCCACTTTTTAGCAAAGTGTCTGAGACAGAGAAAGTTCCATTATCCAGAATCATGGAGTTGACAAGTGGCACAACCTGGGTGCTGCCACAGCTTCCTCCCACCTCTGACCTTGGCTGTTACTTATACAACGTGGAGTTGTAGTGTCTCATGTGATTGTTGTAAGTGTGTGGTTCATTCGGGATTCCTTTCCTCATTCCCTGCTTGGACTTCTATCTCTGCAAGTGCTGCCTTTATGGCACGGAGTCTGGCTCTTTGAGGACAAGGATCATTCATCCTTGTGTTTATTAGGGTTCCTGACACCTTGTCCTGTCCTAGATAGATATTCTATAAAGCACTTGTTGAATAATTTTGCTGTCATCTTTCCTTACACATAAGTTTACTTTTAGAGCCCTTTGACAGGTGCACTAAGAATAATTGCCAGGCATGTAATTGACCTAACCCAAGTTTTGCAATTTTTCCCCTTTTCCCTTCATGTGGGCTCCTATGGACACATGGCACCATATAAGAGAAGGAATATATCAGAAATGCTCTGTATTTAAAATGGAATTTGGAAATTAATGTGCCATTAAGATGTATGACCAGCCACGGGGAGCACTCCTTGTGTCATCTCTGTCCTGTGACCTGCTCTATCTTTTGAAAATTTGAAGGAACAGCTCTGGAAGTGAATTGCTCCTGTCCTTTTTTCTTTTTCTTTTTTTAAAAGAAAAGTATTCAAAGTTGCTTTGAATACTTGAAATATTAGGAATTTTGAATACTTGAAATATTAGGAATTTGAATACTTGAAATATTAGGAATTAAGTGGGATAGCAAGATTGAGTGTCAGATATACAAACATATATTTCTAGTAGAATGTGATTAAAACAGGAATCAGTGCAAGGAGAAGCAGTGAATACAAGTGTGGAGGAGACAAATACAAAGAGACTGAGAGGAAAGTGACAGTAACAGAAAATATTTCAGGTTTGCAGAAGCAAAATGCTACTTTGTGCAAAGCACATGTGTGGAGTAGTTCAAATTCAACATTGAAATTCCCCCAAGTCACAAGGTAATTGCTCTTTTTTTGCAGACCCTACTGATTATGAACACCGTGTACTTGCTTTCCCTGGTGAGGTACTTTCCTCCTATAAACTCCTAAGGATTAGATACTGTTAGGAGGGCTAAGCATCTCTAGCCTGTGCAAACATATGCAAACAGAAAGAAAGGAGATGTAATGAAGGATAGAGTTGAGTATTTTACTAAGAAAATGGAAAAATATAAGATCCAAGAGAGCAATTTAGATTGAAAAGCTTAAAACTTGGATGTATCCTGCACTATTTAACTTTGGCTAAGGAATGTGTTTAATAGTATACATGTTTTTGTTATGCTGTTGGCGAAATAATTTCCTTTCACAGGGGAAAAACTATTATTGAATTCACGGTGTCTGTTGGGCAGGGTTAAGGGGGTAGACCAGAAAAAGAAGGTGCTGTCAGAACATGTTTGCATTTCCAACTATTCACCTCACATCTAATGATACCCACACTTTGCATTATTTTGTCATTTGGAAATAAATATACTTGCATCTCACAGACTTGTTGGAAGTAAATGGAAGGTCTTATAAAATTACTTGAGAATCTTAGCAAGCTCTTTTATTATTTCTAAATATAAAGTATTTAATGATGTCATATATAGAAAACCATGCTTACTATGAAGTAGCATTTTCCTTAAGGGAAATGTATGGTTAGATAGTATGTAATATAATGTGAAATTAATACCATGTAAAATTTAAACAATGAAAATTTTTTTAATAGTCAAAACTTACTCTGTAGGTAACGCCCACATCAAATGCTTCTATTAAGACTTCAGGTCAGTTGACACTTTTTTTACTTTAGCAAGTTCCAAACTGGAAGAACAAGGGTGTTGCCAGTGGAGGTTGAGGTGAATTGAAAGATGGGTGGGTTCCTACCACCGCAAGCCCACAAGGAGATGCTGTGGTTAGAGCATTTCACAGACATGAAATGCAGCCCCACCCCTGCCAACAAAGGTTTCAGAATGCATTTTCTGTTTTTCAGGATGAATCTTCAAGTCATGAATGTAACCAGCGGACGATCCTTCTTTATGGAGTGGGCAAAGAGCGTGACGAGGCGAGGCATCAGCTGAAGAAGATTACCAAAGATATTTTGAAAATCCTAAATAAGAAGAGCACCACAGAGACAGGGGGTAACGTGCCTTAACACATTCGCTCCCATTGTGCTGCCTTCTGTCTCCCACTCAACACAGTCTTTATCAAAGCTGTCCATGGCCCTGTCACCAGAGCATTTCCTCTCCTGAATGACTGTCACATTGAAATATGAATAAGCACTTAAGATGTTGAAGCCTTGGTTTCATTTATAGGAATCCTTGTATTAAAAGAGCATGTCCTATAGATGAATGTAGGTCCTTTCTAATTTTCTACTCAATTTTAGGCTTTCCAAGTTTTCTGTTGGAATCATAAACCAAGTATGAAGCATGAGTTGAAAACTCTTAGTTCTGAGAGGTTCATTTTTAACCTGGTCATTTGCTCTGGATACTTATATTTGCATGATAATGAAAAATCAGTGTTGTTGCTAATATTTTCTTACAGAAGAATAATTGCAATAATAGTGTTGTCTACCCAGATAACTTGAAATCTCAAGTCATAGAGAAAAGTGGGTCTTTTCTCGACAATGCCTTCTTTACTTGGACTGTTCTTTCCCCATGCTTTTTACGTGTTTTTTCCAGTGAGAACATGTCTTTATATTATGTCACCACATTTATATTATTCTACCACATGGAGTTTCGTAGTTAATCATCTCACATTTGCTTAATTACTTTTTTCAAGGTTTATTTTTGTTAGGCGGTCACATGATTTAAAATGATGTCATTGTATACATTCCACTACCACCACTTGTATTTATTTCTCTATTACTTCAATAACACAAAACAAGAAAAAGCTTGGATTTTTTTCGTATGTACACAGCATATTCCCACACATGGCATCATCCACCTCCAGAATCCCTACTTTGTTCTTCACCACACAATAGTTTTTTATGAATCTTTCCACAGGGGCGCTGATCTGTGGACTTTTACTAGAGAAACTACTAGAGCTTGTCCACACTAGATTTTTCTTACAGAAAAGTGCAGATAGAGCTAATGCAAATGACACCCTCCTCCACATCATCAGGGACACATGTGCAGAAACAGGGAACAACGGCAACATGTGTTTCAGTCTGAATGTAGTACTGCAGGCATCTGATTTCTGAGGAGACAGTCCCTAAATACAGCAGTGACATTACCCTCAGCGATGGAATGGAGGGACATTCCCTGACTCCTTCCATCGCAGCGGAAGGGCCTTACACTACATCGGCTGCATGAGACAACCGCCAAAGTGGTGGAAGGGAAATGAAACCCTATTGCTGTTTGCCTGTCATTACTGAACTTGGGGGTTGGGAAACTGCTTTAAGAAAAACTGTTGATCTGTTGTTTCACAGTTTTCTCTCTCTGAGAAAAGAGGAAATGGGGTACTCTATTTAGAAGTCCTGCAATTTAGAAGCTAGCAAAAGACATTTGAAACTACTTCTTGTGTACTTGGAAGTAAGGTGACACTCTATTTTAGGAGGTTTAGTAATATGTGTTTTATCTAAATTAACTTTGGAGTCTTTACTGGTCTTATGGAATGTTTGGTTTAGGAGGCTGAGAAAGATGGGAAGGGGAAGGAAGCATGTGGTGTTCTTTCTGTTGAGTCTACTTCCTTCCTTTACAAAGAGTTTTAATGCCAGACTGCAGTCTGTCTTTGTATAAGTCTCTTAAATAGGCAGTTCTTGCTCATGAACTCACAAAGGGAGAATCATGCTGCATTGTGAGATAACTGGAATAGACACACCACTGTAGAAAAGCGTCTTCTAGGGGGATTTTGGTCCTTCCCTCGTTTCTGATAACATTCCTCAACCAGAAATATGTTCTTTGGGATACAGTAAGCTGATTTTTGGTAAATAAAGTTAAGTTGAAGTGACTACTTAAAACCTAGTACACTCACCAGAAGCTAGCTGATTGTATTTCACATTAGCAAAAATTTACCCACTTTTTCAAGGAAAGACAAGGACTGGTAAGGCAGGAAAACAGAGCTTGTGTTAGCATGTATTTGATTTCTGGCTACATGTAAAAGTAAGATTTTCAAGAATCTATTAAGTGTGTTCTCAGGTCAAGCTGCCTTTCTCTAAGGAATTCATAATCTAAACCTCAAAAATGGTGTTTCTAGTTGAATGTGATCAGACCCCTCTTTACATTTATATTCTCTAGTCATCTTAGATTGCCTGTCATGTGTTTTTTGAAAACATATTGAAGTTTATCTTAACTTGGTGGGAGAGCTACAGTGACCACCTCACCTGAGGGGAGAACTCCTACTGCTAAAAGATTAACAAGGATGTAAAACAGTTTTTCTCATTATATAATAATACATTAAATGATAATAGTTTGAAAAAGTACAAAGACAGGAAATTATTGGCAAGTATTTGGAGAAAAAGAAGCCCTCATACAATGTTGGCGGAAATATAAACTGGTCCAGCCCCCACAGAAAACACTATAGAGGTTCTCAAAATGTTAGAAATAGATCTACCATACAACCTAGCAATTATACTCACAGCAATCTACCTGAAGAGTACAGAACACTATCTCCAAGGGGTTTATATACCACTATGTTTGCTCAGCAGTAGCAAAGTTATGGAAACAACCTATGTGTCCAAAGGCAGATGAATGAATTAAGAAGATGTGGTATACCAAAGGACACAGAAACATTAATTCCAAAGAGCACCTGCACCCCTATTTTTATAGCAGCACTATTTACAATAGCTAAGCTTTGGAAACAACCCAAATGCCCAAAAACAGATGACTGGAGCAAGAAGATGTGGTACATATACACCATGGAATATTACTCAGCATTCAAAAAAGATAAAGGCATGCAATTTGCAGCAACATGGATGGAGCTAGAAGGGATCATGCTCGGCAAAATTAGCCAGAAAGAAAAAGAAAAATACTGGATGGTCTCACTCATAGGAGGAATCTAGAAAACCTAAATAAGGGACCAGGAAAAAGAATAGCTATAAGAAAGAAAAATTCAAAATCAACAAACAACTATGAACCAGAGACACACTATGGGGGGGAGGGGCAGGGAAGGAGGGATTGGGGTCAAATTAAGGGGGTTGCAGTTGTATGGGGAATATAAAAATAAAATTAAAAAAAAAAGATGTGGTATAAACAATGGAATACAACTCAGGTGTGTAAAAACCCTTGCCATTTGCAACAACATGGATAAAACTACAGGGGATTATGCTAAGTGAAATTAGTCAGAAAGAAATAGACAAATACCATATGGTTTCACGCATGTGGAATATGGAGAAATAAAATAGACCAAACCAAACCAAAAACAACCCTAGAAACTGTAAAACTGACTTTATCTGATTGTAAAGATGAGACTAACAATGGAGGAGCGAGAGGTTGGCGAGCAAAGGGAGGGGCAGGCCCAGTGTATTATAGTGGAGGACTGTGGGTACCTTAGTGGTGGGTGTGGTGTGGTAAAATACCTCAAGAGAGGTGGTGGCCTGTATTTCTGAATCATATAGTATTGGGGACCAAAGTTACCTTACTTTAAAAAATTAGAAAAAGTAAAGTTTACCATAACAATCTAAAAGGCCAAGACTTTCAGGATTTAAAGTTTTTTAAAGAATAATTTAAAAAAGTAGGCCTCCCTGGTGGCGCAGCAGGTTGAGCGCAGCACTGTGAAGCTGTCCGCAGCCTCTGCAGCACCGGTTCAGTTCTCGACCAGCCAGGGAGATTCCCACATGGTGCAGCAGTCCTCTCCTGTCTCACCCTCTGCTCCCCTCAGCAGTGTACTTCGGTCCTTCTGCCTGCCTGTTCTGCTCCCTGCTCTGTCTCTGGTGAATCTTCTCACCCTCCCGCACCTCTGGCCTGTACCCCAGTGCTTATATAAATAAATAAATCTTCAAAAAAAAAAAAAGAATAGTCAAAAGTAAGCAAAAGATTAATAATTTATATTATGAAATCAAATTAACATAAAATGTGATGAAAATCTGACTTATTACTATATTATTCTGAAAATATCATTAAAAAAATAGTGTATTCCATTCAGACCCACCACTAACTTCCTACATTATTCTTTGAAAGTGAATTTAAATTGCCAAGAATCAGTTGCATCTTTTTTAATAAAACTTTGAAAGATGGCTTTATATAATTATAGATAGCTATATATGTATACACACATATATGTATACAAAGCTTTTATGTATGTATAAAAGTATACAAAATTTGTTAGCTAAATCAAACAAAAAAGGGATGCTTTTGTGAATTCTCATGCTGGATCTACTTTCTCAAGTCTTTTATTTTTGATTGCTTGTTTTAGTCCCAAGAAGGACTGAATAATTAACAGATACTTTATTTTTTTTGGATAAATCTGGCATTACGTAATTGTAGTACAATAGTATTGTGTATATTCATTGTACAGGTATTAGATCCCTATGACACTTACTATTCATTAAAGATTGCACCCTTGAACACCATCACTCTTACCCACCCCTTCTCCTGGTAACTACCATTTTGGCCTTTTTTTTTTTTTCCTTTACACATTTGAATTTTTTAGTTCCCTGTATTAGTGATGCTAATAAGTACTTGTTTTTCTCTGACTTGTCTCACTTAGCAAAATGTGCTCAAGATCCGTGTTATCTCAGGTGACAGGGTTTCCTTCTTTCTAATGGCTGAATAGCGTTCTGCATATATACACCACATTCATCTACTGATGGACATTTGGGTTTCCATATGTTGGCTATTGTAAATAATGATTCTTGGCAAACCGTGTATTGGCTATGGGGATAATATCCAAAATAGATAAATAACTTACACAACTTATTAACCAAAAAATATACTAAGAAATGGACAGAATATGGGCCTGTGGCGCAGCGGATTGAGCGCAGCGCTGTAAAGCTGTCTGCAGCCTCTGCAGTGCGAGTTCGATTCACGGCCGGCCAGGAAGATTCCCACATGGTGTGGCAGATCTCTCCTGTCATGCCCGTTGTTCCCCTCACCAGTGTATTTCGGTTGTGTGCCAGTTCTGCTCCCTGCTCTGTCTCTGGTGAATCCTCTCACCCTCTCGCACCTCTGGCCTGTGCCCCAGCTCTTGTATAAAAATAAATAAATCTTATTAAAAAAAAAGAGAAATGGACAGAATAACTAAATAGACATTTTCCCAAAGAGGATATCAAAATAGCCGACACACACATGAAAAGATGCTCAGCATCACATCCGGGAGATGCAAGTCAAAGCCTCAGTGACAGCCTCACACCTGATAGAGTGACTGTCCTCAGGATGAGCTGCTGGCGAGAATGTGGTTAAAAGGGACCCACTGTCCACTCTTGATGGGGACGTACATTGCTTCAACCACACTGGAGAACAATCAGAAAGTTTCTGTAAAAATTAAACATAGGTTTACTGCATGTTCTGGTTAATTCACTTCTAGGTGTATAGCCATAGAAAATGGAAAAAACGATTTTATTGAGATGGATGCATTTCCATGTATAACTTAGCATTTAAAAGCACACTGTCTGTAAGCAAGACTATTGATGCGCTTTCAGCCAGGGAGCAATTGAACAATTCAAAACTTGGATATTTTACATATGTTCACGGCATGTGAGCAACTGTGTTGAATGCAGAATTCCACACTTAATTTATTCCTTTGAGACTAGATATTGAAAAACAGGTAGGTTTAATGAACTTCTCGGTTCTTATTTTGCATCACATTCAGTGTTATTTCATAATAGTGGCAAAATCTACTACAAATACCGCTGCTGCTACTGCTACCCCTACTACTCCTACAGTCTATTACATAGCACCTTTTAATTCTGCCTCACTGTGGTATCAGCATGTTTGTTTTAGGAAAACAAACAGACTGGATTTTATTTCTGTCATTGTTTTGCCTATAAACTCTCATTGCTTATTATTGAAAGAAAAGACTCTTTCTTGCCATGCTATTTTTGGAAGCATTTGCATTTGCTATTAGCAAAATCTTTTTTATTTCAGTGAAGTCTTTTCCTGTATCTTTAATATAAAAACTAGTATACTGGCCTTTGTTCTCTGAAATTGAACATTCCCAAATAATCCCCATGAATGGTAGAGCTCTTTTCTGGATTACCTTTGTCTATGTAGCATCACAGTGTTGGAAATGGTCTTATATATATATATATATATATATATATGGCTGTATATAATCTAGACTTTCCCTTTTGTTTTTTAGACCTTCCTTTGTAGACACATATATTTAAAAATATATTCTATTCCACTTTGGGTCTTAGAAGTGTTAAGAAGATATCTTTGGGATAAGCAATCTTTATAATATTTTTTATTCGAACTTCTTTATTCAAATTGATAAACATAACAATTTCCCATCAAAATGGAGTGATTTAACTCCTTGCTAACCCTAAGAAAATTATGGTTGTGTAAATTTTCTGTTTTACATATTAAACTATTTGGGAAAGATAACATGGTGCGTCTCCTAAGAAGAAACAAACAAAGTCTCTTTTTTCCCCCTATCATTGCTGATACCATCGTGTTTTAAAATTCAATTAAAAATGTTTATAGAGGTACTTCTCATTAAGGGCCCATGTTGAGAAACTGCTCACCAGAATGGATAAATAAATGGTGGTATAGTCACATATTAGAATACTGTGCATAAGTGAGAATTATTAATTTTTAGAATGGGTTAAATTTAATTTGACAATATGGATCAATCGCAAAGGAACAGTTGAGTGAAGGAGGTCAGATGTGAAAAGTGTATATTGCAAGATTCCATTTATATGAAGTTCCAAAATGGCTGACACCAATCCAAGGATCCTCTCCTGGGGAGAATCTTGGTTCAATTGGGGGAGAATAGTAAATGGATGGAGACTGTATGGGTTTCTGGGCTTCTGGTATATGATACCATGATTTGAGTCTTATCATATGAGTTTATTGACTTTGTAGGAATTCTTAGAGTTTGTAAGTTTTTCTGTATATGTTATACTTTGATAAAAATTATCACTCAAAAAAGTAAAAATTTTATGTTAAGTGGAATATAATGTGTCTATTGCATGTTTATTCAGTTGGGGATGAAGGACAAAAAGTCAGGAAGAACAAACAGGAAACATTTCCAACACTGGAAACTGTGTTCACAAAACTTCAGCTTCTCTCATATTTTGACCAGCATCAAGTGACATCTCAGGTAGTCATTTAAAGCTATCCTGTTATGCATTTGGGACATTCATATTTCCTTAAAATCTCCTTTACTGTAATATATGTTTCAATCTTAGTTTGTTTTATAGATACATTTTTAAAACCTGTTTGGAGCATCTCCAACTGCTGAATACTTCAGTTTTAAGATGTCAGGTTGCCTTTCTCAGAAAAAACAGTGTTTTATCATGAAAATATTTTTACCTTGTAATAGTAAATACTATATGAAATAAACCCTAATGCCATTTTTGGTCATCTGTTGCTATTGATAAGGTGGAAATCTGTTGAGGACTGAAAAGAAATATTAAGTAGTTTTGAAGAAATCTGTTTTATAAATCCACTGATGTTATCTGGAAATTAATTAACATTTGTAGTTCTAACTTTAAGATAATTAGGCCTAGATCTTTGTGACAACTTGGCTTATTCCAATTATAGTTGTATTAAGGAAGTTTATTTGTATATGACTTTGGTTTCTATAGAAATATGTTTTAACTTCTTTTTAAATAGAATCACATATAAATTCAAATTTCTTAAAATTAAAATATTTGATAATGATATTATTTAGAGGATTGGTCTTTAAATTCTTTTTACCTTTTTTCACCAGATCTCTAATAATGTACTAGAACAGATAACAAGCTTTGCGTCTGGAACATCGTATCACCTCCCTCTGGCCCACCATATTCAGCTCATCTTTGATCTCATGGAGCCAGCTCTGAACATCAATGGACTAATTGACTTTGCAATACAGGTATCAAAGAGACCCTGCTTCTCTTATTTTTAGGAAAGTAAATCTGCCAGGCATTATCAATTTAAAATGAGCCACCCTAGGGCCTCCCCAGTGGTGCAGGGGTTTAAGTCTTAGTACTATCAAGCTATTGCCATCTACTGAAGCACGAGTTCAATCTCTGGCCAGGGAGCTAACCCATATGGCACAGCAGACTCTCCTGTCTCCCCCACGACTCCCCTCAACAGTGTATTTCAGTAGATCAGCCTGTTCTGCTCCCTATTCTGTCTCTGGTGAATCCTCTCACCCCCTGCACCTCTGGCCTAGATCCCAGTTTTTGTATGCATAAATAAATAAAAAATAAATCTTAAAATTAATGAAATGAGCCACCCTGTGCACTTTAAATAATTGAGACATTTGGAATTAGCAGTATTCAACCAACATTTTAATTATGACTGTGTTTAGTTTCCAATTAGATAATTATAATTGGCACTAAAATATATAATAGCTAACTAAAATGTGAGAGTTTTGAAGATTTCTCTTTTTTTCTGGTCTTATTTTGCTTAGAAATTATGTAAGTTTATTTTGGTTTTTATAGTAGAGTATATTTTATGTTTATAGCCCCCCAAACCAAAACCTTATGATTTGATTTGTCCCACTATATTTCTTAATATACATCATTTAGTTAATTTATTATCATGTTATTAGTGAATAAAAATACAACTTGGTTTTTATTCCTTATTCTGCTGGAGGTAGTAGCTTTGTTAATAACAAGAAAATGATGATGAATAACTTCCATTTTATTCAAAAGAAGGAAAAAAGGGGGGAAAAAGAGGATGTTCTTTTCTGAAATGATCTAGTCCATAACTTTGGCCTTCCATAAAATTTTTAGTTATTATTCTAGTTTGGGTACTTCCTTATTGCATGGGTCATGAAGTCCACACAGAAGTAAAACTCTATAATTTGGTAAAGGATGAAAAATAAAACCAGTTTTATTAATTGGTGTGATATCTTGGGTCCTGCTTGTGTGGTTATGGAGTTCTAGGCCAGGATAAGGGGTGAAACCACGTAAGTATACCAAGGAGTCAATATATTCATGGTTTGTAAAAGTAAATGTTTTTCCTCCTTGTTTCCTTCATTCAATCTTCTCTCCCTTTGTAGCTGCTAAATGAGCTGAGTGTTGTGGAAGCTGAACTGCTTCTGAAATCCTCCAGCCTGGCAGGGAGTTACACAACCGGCTTGTGTGTCTGCATCGTGGCTGTTCTCAGGCGTTACCATACTTGCCTGATCCTGAATCCTGACCAGACAGCCCAGGTGTTTGAAGGGTTGGTATATAAACTATTAATGTTTTTCACATCATAGAATGTGTTACTTCGGTGAAATATTAGAGAGACCTTGTGAGAAAATAGTACCATTTGTTTCAATAAAGATACAGTTAAAAAGTACTTTTGCAGATAATATTTATCAAAGGAGACACAAGCATGAAAAGCATATTCTTTTTATAAAGTATGATTCCTTCTTCCCTGCCTTCCTTCCCTCCCTCTTCATTTCTAAGAGTATATTAGCCATTCACTGATATGGTCTATCGTTTATGCTACCCACCAGCATGGTTTCTTGACAATTGTGAATATGTGGCTTTTTTTTTCTTCATGCAACTTCAGTTTATATTTGGAAAATCCAACACCAAATAAACATTGCATACATTGTCATCCTTTAATTTCATTTCTTTTATAAAGTAAATAGATCTTTTTATCTAGAACAAATTTTTCATCTTAGTCTTTAATTTGTGTATATACAGCCTAAGCTTTTCTCTGTTACCACTACTGAAGTTGGGCAATTTACATAATATCCCCATTAGAAACTGAGGATACTGGACCCAAGAAGTATAATGAGTTCTCAACAAAACTGTACTCTGCTCCTCTTTGTCTATTGCACACTCCTTTCTCCGGGTCTTTTTGTGAAGAAAGAACTGTTTTTTCTTTCTCTTCCATTTTGTCTCCATTTTGTGCTATATTCCTGAATGCCATCCATTTAACAGCAGGGTTTTTGGGAAAAGGAAATCCTACCACAGTAATTGCACATAGAGATAACTGAGTGAAATCTGAAACATTCCAGATATTTTCAGATGTGAGAAAATAGACATCTTAGAATTCAGAAAGTATAGAACTAATTAATAGCCCTCACCTACCTTATAAGATCAATTAATTGGTAGCATTTTACATTGAGAAACTGAAACTCCAGGCTGTTTATGAAGTGTTTGGTGAAGTAACCAACATTACACACCCGATAGATTCTCAAATTGTTAAGAATTTTTTTTTTTTTTTGAGGGAATTCAATTTATTTTATTTTTTTTTTAATTTTTGGAAAAATTTTTTTTTTAATAATAAATTTTATTTTTATATTCCCCATACAATTGCAACCCCCCCATTTTGACCCCAATCCCTCCCCTCCCGCCACCCACCCCCCCAAAAGTGTCTCTGGTTCATAGTTTTTTGTTGATTTTGATTTTCACTTTCTTATAGTTATTCATTTTCCTGGTCCCTTATTTAAGTTTTCTAGATTCCTGCTATGAGTGAGACCATCCGGTATTTTTCTTTTTCTTTCTGGCTTATTTCACTGCGCATGATCCCTTCCAGCGCCATCCATGTTGCTGCAAATTGCATGTGTTTATCTTTTTTGAATGCTGAGTAATATTCCATGGTATATATGTACCACATCTTCTTGATCCAGTCATCTATTTTTGGGCATTAGGGCTGTTTCCAAAGCTTAGCTATTGTAAATAGTGCTGCTATAAACATAGGGGTGCAGGTGCTCTTTGGAACTGATGTTTCTGTGTCCTTTGGGTAAATACCTAGGAGTGGAATTGCTGGATCATATGGAAGCTCTATGTTTAGTAGGTCCAGAAATCTCCACACAGCTCTCCATAGTGGTTGGACGAGTTTGCACTCCCACCAACAGTGCAGAAGAGTTCCTTTTTCTCCACACCCTCGCCAACATTTGTTGTTGCTAGTTTTTTTAATATGTGCCATTCTCACTGGTGTAAGATGGTATCTCATGGTAGTTTTGATTTGCATTTCCCTGATTGCCACTGATGTTGAACATTTTTTCATATGCCTGTTGGCCATTTGCATTTCCTCTTCAGAGAAGTTTCTTTTTAGCTCTTCTGCCCATTTTTTGACTGGATTATTTTCTTTGTTGTTGTTGAGTCTCATCAGCTCTTTGCAGATTTTTGTGATCAATCCTTTATCATTAGTGTTGTGTGCAAAAGTGTTCTCCCAGTTGGTGGGGTTTCTCTTTGTTTTTGTTATTGTCTCTTTTGCTGTGCAATGTTAAGAATTTTTAACCAGGAGCTCAATAAAGTTCTTTGAGCTTTGCTGTTCTTTTAAAAATGTTTATGTAAACCTATCATTTGGTCATGAATTAAATTTTAATAGATTTTGACATTATGCTATTGTTTAAAATTTCAATTTTATTTATTTTGGCATTTTAAATTTATGTTCTATTAAATGTTCATAAAAGCATATTCGATATTAACTTGATTATATTTTTTCTTCATCGTGCATAGTAAGAATAAGTATTATCACAAAACTATTAGTTTGGTTTATTTTGTACTTGAATGAATGAATGTACTGGTTCTCAATGTGTCTTTCTTATCTTTAGCAAGTGAAAAAAATTTAGGAAGCCCTGAGTGCTATATAGTATTCTAGATGCCCAATAATAAACTCTCAGTAAATGTTTGTTTAATCACAGAACAATTTTTTTTGTTTTATAAATTATATTTTTTTTATAAATGGCATAATTTGAGTCAATTTGTATTTTTTTTCTGTTTTGTGACACTTTTACTATAAAGGATAGCTTTTATCAGCTGACAGGTTAAACCCATCTTTTGATGTCTATTCAGGGGATGCTACATTGCCATTTCTATAGATACTCTCCTTGTTCCCACTATGGTATTTTGATTTTTGTGTCCACTGCCTTAACATCCTAGGCACACTTTGACCTTCCCCAGTCCCTAGAATAGTGGATTGAACTCTGGACTGGGGGTCCAAAGATCTGAGCTCTCAGATGTTGTGAACTAGCTCTTTGCCTGTGGCAAGTTACTTTAGATTTCTTACCTTCAGAACTCCCTCTCTTATCTCTTTTTCCAGAGAAAAATGAATGAAATGATTTAAATCCCTGTCCAACTTTAATAATTAGATCCGTCTATGGCACTATTTTAGTGTTGGGGCCTAACCCAGAACCAGGTTACAAGATTTTCATGGAATCAGAATCCCAATGAGGTGGATAGGTCACTAGTATACTTATGTTGTTTGATTCTGTTAGTTCTGATTTGGCTATAGTAGCCATGTAGTTACTGAAACTAAAAGGCAATGAATGTCACTAAAGGGCATTTTAAATTCTTGTATAAGAAAAACTAAAATAAATTTGTTTCTATAATAGTTTGGATAAGCAAGGAAGAAGGTGACCTCAAACCATGGATTATTCAACCTGTCATACTCTTAAAAATGCAGTTTTTCTGACTTGATGACTTGCTCCTTTACAAAAGTGAAATTAGGAATCTTTGTCAACTCCCTGAATGTGTGAATCTTTTTACTGAACAGAGGTTCTCTGCTTCAACCGTAATGTTTTTATCATAACAAGTTCATTGATAGGTTCTTCTATATATATGCCTTTTGTAGGGAGGAGTTTCTTTCTTTTGTTTCTTATTAATGGCATTTCTTCAGCTTGAAAAAATACTTCGTATTTCAGTTTTATGATAGAAAGTGCTAATTTATTAAATTATTTGTTGTTACTATAATGGCAGTCTGTGATGTATTTTTTTCTTAAGTAATAACATGAACATATCACTCTAAAATATTCAAGTAGTAGAACATGCATGTGCACAAATGCGCACACACACACCCCCATTAGCAAAGTATGTTTATTTCTTCATATTTTTTTCTCAGGTTATGTGGTGTAGTGAAGCATGTTGTAAACCCCTCAGAATGTTCTTCTCCTGAGAGATGCATTTTAGCCTACCTCTACGACCTCTACGTGTCATGTAGCCACCTCAGAAGTAAATTTGGAGACCTCTTCAGGTGGGTAGGAGCAAATCAGAAGAAAAGCAATGACAATATTGTCATTCCTTTTCATAATGAAAGTTATATCTGCCATTATTCATATTGAGTAACCTATCATTGTAGCTTTGTCCTCCTATTACAAATTATTGTGCTTGTTTACTATGATTTTAATTTTAAGATAAACTGTGGAGAAAATATCCTATATTTTGAAGTTACTGTTATCTCACATGGGACATTGTTTCCACTATTTGTATCATTTCTCACTTATTTCCTTCTTTGCTGCTTTTCTCATTCCATTTCAAATAACATCCTTAGCTTCCTGTCATTCTTTACACTTTGGCACTTGCTGTCCCCATAGGTAGACAGGTGCTGTAAAATATGTACACGTTTTATGTTACTTTGAGGAAAGTTAGATTGTTAATTGTAGGTGGGAAGGGAAGGATATAGTAGTAACCAACAAAATAAATTTGTTATCTAGAAGGAGGTAAGGAAAGAATAATCAGTTATGGTTGTCTGTGCTTTCTCATACCTTGCTGCCAGTTTATTCATAAATCTTGTGCACACTACCTTCCAGGTGTATATCTAGAACCTGACTGCTCTTCATTGCTCTGTCTTTACCACTGTAGAGTCCTTTGCTAGTTGTAGTGGGACACATGCATTGTAGTCCTAGCTAGTTTTGGCTGCTTGCATCCTTGAGTCTCTCAACATATCCCTTAACATACCAACATACCTACTAAGGTCATCCTTTTAAAACAAGAATAATTTGAAGCTTTCAATGACTTCTCATCTTTTCAGAATAAAGTTCAAAATCCTTTCCTTGCTTCAGGATCTAATCTTCTCTTCTTCTTCCCCTCTGTTCACTCTATTCTAACTACACGGACCACATAACTGGTCTTCAGACCCTGCAAGCACACTTCCACCTTGGAACATGTGTGCTTGCTGTTACCCGTTGTAAATCTCTTCATGGTCACTGCCTGTTAACTCCCACAGTTCATTCATAACTCCAGCTCCTTAAATACCCCCCTACTCTTCTACTCCTGGGCACATTTATTTTCAATCTGACTCCATTCAAGAATTTAAGATTCAGGAGAGCAGAAACTTTATCCTTTCACACTGTGTCACAGTGCTTAGAGTACTGAGTAGACACTGCAAAAAATCTGGTGGGTGAAAGACATATCCCGCGCCATGATATTTTTAATGGTACATATGGGGAAAATGCCAATGTCTTCATAAAATTAGTTTAGTTTCAAAATAATCCCTTATAGGTCTTTTGAGTGGGTCTTAGGGAACATCATACCTCAGAAATAATATAACAACAATGCCCTATATTTTTCTTTTATGTTACAAAAAGCTTTCAGTATCAGTTTACAGTTTTCAGAGAGTTTTCTCACATATTTCAGTCTTAAAATAGCCCTGATTTTAATAGTGAACTTACTATGAAAGCCTCCATTGCCTGTTTAACCTCTAATACTTCTATAGGGTCATATAAGTACATCCAATGAGTTAATAAAAATAACGTACACTTGTTTATGGAGATCTAGGAAACCAACTGTGGGCTTGACTGGCTACTTAGGGTCAGCACAGTGCTGCATCACAGGTATTTGTACTGTCTAAACTGTCTGGGATTAAAGAAATAGGACAGAAATTCACTATTTCAGAAACCTTAAGGTCAGATATTATTAGTTGGGGATTAAGAAAAACGGGCAAACAAAAGCTAGGTATGTAAAGCAATTTCTATAAATGTTTTTAATAAGACAATTTTAATAATTGGATCTGAAGTACCATCTATATATAGGTATGTAAGAGAACTATTTGGAGGAAATATAACACTAATTGCATCTATTGCTAATTGGGTTGCTGTTGTCTGGCAAATCCTGGCTTATATTAATCCTCCCAACAACCCAGGAAGTAGAGATTACTTTTTCTACCAACAAATGACTGTTCCTCATGTTAAGTTAATAAATAATGAAGCCTAGATTTAAGCATAAGTTACTTTGGTCTCAAGGTGTGTCTACTTTCATTTGTCTATCAAGTTTTTCTGATACATGTAATTTCAGAGGGAAAATGTCAGTTGTTTTCTTAGTTGCATATATGCCTGCAACAGAAAATGTTAAGAATTTGAGAGTGACTAGATGGCAGCTAACTTTTTATTAAAATGTAGAAGCTCATATGGAAAGAATATAATAAGGAAAGCAGGATGAAGAAACTTCACTCTGAGTGAAGAGTATTTAAAAAAAAAATGCAATGCAGGGTGGCCATAGCAAAGAATCTACTCAAGATTCTCTCTATTCTGAAAGAAATTTTGGGGCAGAGTCTTAGAAAAATTAAGAAAGAAAAGCAGAGTCTGTTTCTGAGGTCACACATGAATAGATTTGTTAGAATTAAGTGGAAAACTGCATTAAAAAGAAACAATGCTTTACTCTTTGCTGAAGTCTATTTTATTAAAATGGCATTAAGAGGTGGAGCATAAGAGAAAAGTGGTATCAGCCTGGAAAGTAGCAAAGAGTTAAGTGTTGTTTTAATTTTATTTTTAGTGAAACAAAAAATTCATTGAAAATGAAACAAATTTAGAACTATTGCTAAAAGAAAATGAATGAAAATTTTGAGTAGAAAGTGTAGCAAAAGTTAAGGCAGGACAAAGGGAGATGTATGAAAGTATTGGGGATTATAGTACATCCATCATTTTGAGATGGGCATGACTCCAAGATTGCAAACATATCCATCAGTGACTATTGGCAAGTTTTTATATAAATTATCTACAAAGAAAACATGTGAAAGATTGTAATTATTGCCATTTAGTAGGTGATTTTAGCCTTCTGTTAGACCAGTGCTTCCCAAGCATAGTTTAGCACTTAGATTGACCTGGGACAGCTTTTAAGCATATAGATTCAGTACACCTACAGTGAGGGCCAAGAATCTTTATCTTTAACAAATATGCCAGACTGAAGGAGAAGATGTGAAGCCACGTTTTGGTAAATATTAAACTGAGCAATCTCCTTTTCTTTTCTTTTCTTTTCTTTTCTTTTCTTTTCTTTTCTTTTCTTTTCTTTTCTTTTTTTTTCTTTTCTTTTCTTTTCTTTTCCTTTCTTTTTTTAAAAAAAGATTTATTTATTTATTTATACAAGCACTGGGTACAGTCAGAGGTGCGGGAGGGTGAGAGAATTCACCAGAGCCAGAGCGGAGAATAGAACAGGCAGAGTGACGAAGTATATTGCTGAGGGGAGCAGGGGGTGGCAGGAGAGGTCTGCACACCATGCGGGACCCTTGCCGGGCTGCCCGGGATCAAACTGGCGCTGCAGAGGCTGTGGGCAGCTTCACAGCCCAGCGCTCAACAGCTGCACCACCCGGGGAGGACCCTCAATCTCCTTTTTCTTAAAGCAGTTGATAGTGGTAATAGTTTAGGGTAAAGAGGCTCTGTGCCTTTTTATTTTTTTTTTTTTAAGAAATCTTTCTTGTCTACTATTTTCAGAAATAAAATTGCTATCAAAAACTTAATCTCAAAGAAAAAGACTTGGTGCTACATAGGAAACCTCTTGAATAGGGAAGGTGAATGTTGCTATGAATTTGGTATCTACAGCAAGGAGGCAAAAATAACTGAATTTATGTGAAATGTAAGCTTTGAAATCAGATCATCTTTTGCCCTTGTCTACAGAGCAGGAGTGAAGGAGACACATTTTCATTCCTCTTATATTTCCACTCTTCTGTATCTTACTCAGTTGTAACTCACTGAAACATGAACTGTTTTCATATGAAAACAATCCTATGATAGACCAGGTCCCTGAAAATCTCTTAATGTTGCTGAGAAGCACAGCATAAATCTTTAAGAATGACATAATAGAGTCTCTGCTCTCATAGAACATAAGTATTTTCTATTATAGTACAAGGTCCTTGAAAGTAGGGAATGAGCCTCTCATTTTCACGGCTTTCCCACAGAACTTGGAGTAACCTTGGTCCATGAACTCCACTGGATACACTGTACCTATCGGTGTGGTTTTAGAGGATGTATATACTAGTTAGGACTAAAACACCAAATTTTTATTGATGTTTTGATTAATTTTTATTCTTCATTAATAACATATTCCACCAATTGTTTAGAGACATAGTCAATTGTTTTATTTTTAGATCACAGAAAATAGAGAAATATTTTTAAAACAGAGATTAGTGACTAGATGACTTCTTATTTTTTCTTCCATTCATTCAGCAACTATTGAGCAACTGTTTACATTCCACTGACAATTATTAAGAAATCAGAATAAAAAACTCCAATGTGAATCTTCTTTAGGGGTATATTTTAATTGCTGCCATTTAATCTGTCCTTGAATAACATTTTAGTTATTCTAGTTTTATTTTGTTTTTAACTTTTCTTCTTATAACCTCAGTAGTGCCTGTTCAAAAGTAAAGCAAACCATATATAACAATGTGATGCCTGCAAATTCCAACTTGCGATGGGATCCGGACTTCATGATGGATTTTATTGAGAATCCTTCAGCCCGTAGCATCAACTACTCAATGCTGGGCAAGATCCTTAGTGACAATGCAGCCAATCGCTACAGCTTTGTCTGCAATACACTCATGAATGTATGTATGGGCCATCAGGATGCTGGAAGGTAAGCTGAGTTATCCTGTAATCAGTGATTAACCACATAATTGTTGCCATGGTGCCACTTTGAAATTAACGTCTTCAGTAATTGCCTAGATGACATTTGGATGCCATTCACTTTTCTGTTGTCATTGTTACATGTTCTTTTAATCCTGAATTTACTCTCTATGTTATGATTTTCTTAACCTGAGAGGTGGTACTTTCTTAATTGCTGATCTGCCATGAGATGCTTTAAGTATAATAAAACATATAATAAAGATATGAAAAAAAATAACTACATTTTATAAAAGCCTTATGCCTACCTAGCTGTGTCTTTAATTTTTTGATGTCCTTCAACATGTAAACTTTTAGGTGAGATTTGTCCATAGAATTAAATACATATTTATTGACATCTGAACTAATTGTTTATTGTTCAACAGTATTAAATATTAGAAAACACTTGAAGTCATTTACTTTTGCCTTCTGCTTTGGGTTCTACTACATTATTTGGCAAATAAGTACTTATTTTATCATCAAATCTATTAAATGAATGACTTGTTTTATGATAATGAAATATATGTTCTACTACATTATTTGGCAAATAAGTACTTATTTTATCATCAAATCTATTAAATGAATGACTTGTTTTATGATAATGAAATATATGTTCATTGAGTATATCACATGTGACTTTCTGTTTTGTGACTTTCTATTTTGTTACTTTCTGCTATATTCTTTTTCTTCTGTCTAGGATTAACGACATAGCCAATTTCTCCTCTGAGCTGACGGCTTGCTGCACTGTTCTTAGTTCTGAATGGCTGGGTGTCCTGAAGGCTCTGTGCTGTTCCTCAAATCACGTGTGGGGGTTCAATGATGTACTTTGCACTGTAGATGTAAGTTTTCTTTTTCATTTGAAGCTCAACTGTGCAATTAAATTTAGTTATTTTTAAAAATGATTTAATCATTAACTGGAACTTGGTAAAATATTTTTATCTTTCTCAGTCTAATAGCAATAAATTAGAGTGTGGTTGTAAGTGCTTAACTAAATGAAAAAATCAAAATATATAAAGTAGATAGCTTAATCTATAGTAGAGATGCCAAGAATGTCCTTGTTTGTTAGCTAAGATTACTTTTGTAGATGGTCTCTTGTGGGCTTTTTATTGTTTTTGTGAATTGCCCTGGGTTTCACATAGCACAGATCATAATTTCACTAAAGAATAGTGTTTTTTTGAGATCCAAATGCACTCTAAGAATATAGGTTTTGTTGTCTTGCATAAGAATGCCCATGCCCAAATTAGGAGGGCATCATGTTTCATATTGATTGTCTGGAAAGTGACAAGTGCCTGTTATGTAGCACTGATTTCCTCACATAGCATATTGCATCCATGCTGTGTAAATTTCATAAAAGTGCATATTGATTATTTTTCTCTGTAATTTCTTAGAGTAATCTGTATTGTACATTAGTGTATCTTTTGCACAGAAGAACATCACATCCTTTAAAATCTGCTGTCCAGTTGACAGTTTACTTCCTAATTCTGGTATCTCAAGACTGAGGAGATGATTCTATCTTATTTCTGCAGGCACCTGTTAATATTACACACACACACACACACACACACACACACACGAAAGCTCTGTCAGTGACTTGTTTTTCCAGCCATTGAAGACCCCCTGTTTTATTTTTAACACAATTCCTTAACCTCTTGGTCTTGTTTGTTACACTTTACCTTTGTGGTCCCTCATCCATAAAATTGGGATTAATGGTAGTATGAACCTCATGGTGTTTGCTACATGGTGTTTGCTATTAAATGAGGGGATCTTTGTATGTCACTAACCAGAGTCACTAGTATATAATACAACTCATTATGAAGAGTGCTGATATGGTCATATTTCTTAGTATTTTCTTGTGAGATTTATAGTGTAAAGGTAGAGGTTTTTCTCTCAATGAATCAATTTCCCTTCTCTTTTTTAATCGTAGAGGTCAAGTTTTTTTTTTTAAACTAACTAAATTTTATTAAAGACTCATTTTTTCCTGACAGGAACTCCAAAACATTAGTCAGGCTTGTTTTCTATTAGGAAAACTGCCTGGTTTTCCCTTGTCCCAGTTGTCTTACATGAAAGGACAACTCAGGCTGCTAAAAGCGTTTGTTACATATTATAGGGATTTCTTGATTTTCTTTTAAATTACCTTTGCTCAAGGTAAAACAGTATATATTTATATTAATGGGATGTAGGCAAATCTCAATTTTTTGTCTTATAATGTAGCAGTAGACTTAGAGGATAGTGATCATGATAAATTATCATTTCACTCTGCTGTTCCAATTTGGAATTTGAGATCTTAACGGTATTGCCTACATTCTCTTAGCTATTAAACTTAGATGTTACTTAAAAGGGTGTTAGGTATTAAAACATGTCAATGTTTTTCTTGAAGGTGAGTGACCTTTCATTCCATGATTCATTAGCTACTTTCATTGCTATTCTGATAGCACGACAGTGTTTCTCCCTGGAGGACGTCGTGCAGCATGTGGCACTGCCCTCTCTCCTAGCTGCAGGTAAGGCAGGTCCAGGAGCGGCACTGGTTGTTTGACTGCTGTCTTGGGGTGGTTTCCAACTAGTAGAACCCAGTGGAAGTCGTGTTTAAGGGTACATGCATTAGGCAGTGATGTGGCATCAGGGCTGAGATGGTAGGATCTTAATGATGTTCCATACAGAGTAATGGGAAGGTTGGGAACTACTAAGAAATGGAAGCTCGTGCCATATTTTTTTACCATAGGGAGCTTTTATTAAAATTAATCCAGAAAATGTAGCTTAATGGAATACCTGAGGACATGTTCTTGTATATGTTAGAAATCTCTTTTAAAATCGCTCTCTCCTAGCTTGCGGAGATGCAGATGCTGAGCCTGGGGCGAGAATGACATGCCGACTCCTGCTCCATCTCTTCCGAGCTCCTCAGGCTTGCTTATTACCTCATGCAACCGGTAAGCTGACAAGTGGACACTCTCTGATTGTGTTTACATTTAGAGCTATCAGTTCTAAATTGACCTAATAGGCCATTGATTCTGTAATTTCCTTCCTGACTTTGGTGGGCTGGCATCAGGGGTGATGAAGGAGTGCAATAATGCCCTTGAGAGGGCTGTCAACACCTTTCCTTTGTGTAATATCAGGATGTATTGAGAAACTCAAATTAAGAGTTACTAAACAATAAAAATACTTCTGTTCTTCAGCCAAGCCATGCTGGTAGGCAGCATGATCCCCTAACATCCTATGTGTGTTATTTATGAACTACACCAGTGCAACTTAGGACAATGGTGATTTATGTAAGCTTTTACTAAGGTTGAAGGAATAGGGTAAAGTTAAAGAAATGTTAGTCAATCAGTTTCTAAAGATCATTTACATATTGGTGTGTGTGTGTATGTCTGTATAAGCCAAGATGTATAAAAGTTCTATTAATTTTTGATATGTATCTCTAAGGAACAAAGATAATGTTTTAATATTTAAAAAGAAAGGATTAAGTTAGGAATATTTGCAGTGCATCTTAGTGAACTCATGAAGCATCAATTAAAGCTGGCTAATGGCGATTAAGTGCCTGTTGACTGTAAATGGTTACAAAAGACTATTAATGATGGTAATGAGAGAGACTATTTGTTGTTGTTTTCATAGGTAAACCTTTCCCAGGAATAAGATCGTCTTGTGATAGACACCTCTTAGCCGCTGCTCACAACAGCATTGAAGTGGGAGCTGTGTTTGCTGTCCTAAAAGCTATTATGATGCTTGGTAAGATTATCTTGGCACTAAGTTTGGTTAATCACCAGAAACGGAGACAGAATAATTTGTATTCAAATTTTGCTATAATTAATATTATTAGAAACATGTTTGTTATGGAAAAATTTGTGGGCTTTCCCTAAGTTGGAGCACAGTCAAACCACAGTCAGCACCTGTAATTCTGGCACAATTTAAATATAACACTTTTTTGGTGGCATTTTAACTGCAGGGCATCTCATTCTGATATAAACTAGATTACCAGACTTACCAGGTTGTTTTGTTGGCAAAAATTGCACTTTGTGATGGACTTGGTGATTTGGTAATGTAATGAGAAATTTAAATTTCAGATTATATTCCAGGAGTAGAACACCAGAAAACCTGGGTTTTAATCTTATTGTGTCTGCTTTCTTTGTGATCCTGAACAAGTTTATAATCAGGTGTGATAATTCAATATTTGAAATCACTTTTTTTTTTTCCATTTAAATCATAGTGTCCAAGATGTCCTTCATAGCCTTATGGGTATATGTTCTCTCAGAGCAGTAGTGCTGCATTTTCTATTCCTTTTCAGTACAGTACCTTAAGATATTATTATTCTATAAATCATGGAGGTTTTCAGTGATTGGGAAATCTTAAATTTACACTGCCTCAGTCCTCTTTTGGCCTTAACTGAAAAAATTATTTCTTATGTTCTGAATGAACTATTTTTGATTATAACAGAAATTCCTGAGAAGATAGAAACTGTTTTAGATGTGTCTTAATGAATATGTTTGAGGCTATCTAGACCTTATCCCTTTATACTCTTATCTGAAAGTGTCATTTAGTGATGATGAGGAAGGAAACAGTATTTCATAAAACAAATTATTAAAAGTTCACCTAAAAAATAACATGTTTAACTCATATGTATTTATATTTATTCCTTTGAAATGCTCATGAGTTTTGTAGTGAAAGGGAAAGGTAGAGTTACACGCCCCCACTCCGCGCGCACACACACACACACACACACACACTGGCTTAGGAACTTGTAGTATTATAAAACCATTATTTTAATAATGGTCATTTCAGTAAGTAAAATTTCTCTACTCCGATGTTTGAAAGGAAAAATGGCTGGTCAGTTCTGCTTAATAAATGTGGAGATTACAAGTCATGGGCTTGCTTTTTTATTATGGTATCTCTAGCTCCTGTCAGAGAAAGTAAATAATAGATTTTCAAATAGGTTTTCAGTAAACTAATACTAAAAGAGTGGATGCTTAAGTGATGGACATTTTAGTGAGAGAATGCAGGGCAGGTGCTGTCTAGACACTGGCTGCTAGATTGGCAGAATTGCTCTGATTCCAAGTAAAATTTACCAACCTCTTTAAATATCCAAATAACTTTTTATTTTTTCAAAAAGATTTATTTATTTATTTATACAAGCACTGGGCACAGTCAAAAGCATGGGAGGGTGAGAGAATTCAACTGAGACAGAGCTGGGAACAGAAAAGGCAGACTGACAAAATACAGTGCTTAGGGGAGCAGCGGGCGTGGCTGGAGAGGTCTGTCGCGCCATGTGGGACCCTTGCCGGCAGCTGGGGATCGAACCGGCGCTGCAGAGGCTGCAGTCAGCTTTGCAGCCCAGTGCTCAACTGCTGCACCACCAGGGGAGGCCCTCCAAATAACTGTTTTTAATACCCATGCAACTCATTTTTTCTTTGATGATTTTTCCTTGTCCCTTTTGCTTGGCCTCCATTCTTGGTAGGGTTCTTCAGGTCAGGGTGCCCTTGAGAGTGCTGTCAGCACTTTTGCTTTTTGTAATTTCAGGATGTATTGAGAAACTCAAATCAAGTCAGTAAACAATAAAAATAACTCTCTTCTTAGGTCAAGCCATGCTGTTAGCCAGCATGATCCTCTAACATTAGGCCAGTGTAGTCAGCAGAGAATCCTTGGGACTTGTGTTTACTGAATACTATTTATCCTTCTGCAGTTGCAGAAGTTTCTTGTACAGCCTCCCAGAACTTCTTTGTCATCCTCACATCTAAACTAAAAGGGTTTTCCTTGTCTGGAACTGGCAGAGGTGTCCGTTTCTTTGTTTTTGTTTATCTACCTCACATTTCCTTGAACAAGTGTTCCTTCAAGTCCTATCTACCAGTATCTATTTTGAATTAAGGAGATAAGAGTGTTTTATATAATATACTTTTCAATTTCTATGGTAGATTTACTTAAGGTACAAAAATAGTAATGCACATCACCTGAAGTTGGAGAAAGCATGCTAAAAATTGGTAATGTAGAATTTTGTCTGTCTTTTAGCTTCCAGTGAGCTCTATTGAATTAAATATTGTGTGGGCTAAGTGAAGTTGGTACTTTTTCCTCTGTATTTTACTGAGAAAATGTATGATAATATAAAATAGAGATACTGATGAGTTAAAATTTATTCTTAATTGTTCCCCACCTCTTAACAATTTTATAAATACCCACTAGGCCTTTCTGATCTTCCAAATTTTTTTTTCATCAGCATTAAAAGCTTTTTCTTGGTTGACCTGTGGGTTTTAAAAGGGTTTGTTTGTGGGGGTTTTTTTGTTTGTTTGTTTGTTTGTTTGTTTGTTTGTTTTGCATTTAATTGGGTTTGGTTTGATTCACAGTGAGGCAGTGGGAGCCTCATTTAAACCATTTGTTGGTTCCAGGAAATTTCTTTGTTCAAGGCTTATGCTCTTGTAAACAGGCAAAAGTTTGGATACTGTTGTCATTTGGCAATCTTTACTATCAAATTCTATTATTTTCTCACTTCTGAGTATGGTAGTTATCTTTGATAGTTAGGGATGTAATATAATTTCCAGGTTTTCAAAAATTCTGTTCAGTTTTATTCCCAGAAGTTTGTTGTGAGGAAAATACTTTAATAGCTTTATTTTACTAAGTATATTAGAGATTGATCAGGTAAGGTTTTATAATTGGATGTTTATGGAGAGGAAAGTGAAAGACACAGGTTATTCAATGAATGCCCAATTTTCAGGGCTTCCTTAGTATGCATTGCCCTTTTCCATTCCCAGGGAAATAAATCTCTCTTGTCAAGAAGTTGATAGTAAGGTGGGCTAAGGCAAAACTTTTCTCTTGACCTATGGATAGAAAATAAGTCATTGTAAGAGAAGAAATGGAAAAGGGACATCTAGAAGGGTGAGTAACCCATTTTCTCCTTGTCTATAAGTCAAATTAATTTCAATACATTCATGCTTGAAATGTTAGTGAAATCAATATTGTGTGATGACTAAGTATGACTCATAATGACCTTTCCAAGTTTGGTGAACATGTACTTCAGATTCGGTGAGTCCTGTAAACAAAATATGGAATGAGTCTTGAACTTGACTTTTTCCCCATGTCTGAATAAAGTTCACTGCGTTCCTGCTTTTATTCTCTTAATCTGTTCTTTTTATTGCGAGCAACTGGTTTACAATAACGTTGTCATTTACATATTTTTACTCTCTGGAGATTTGCCTCATTTACTTCTCATATTTGTAATATTTGACATTATTTTGAAATTCTGTGATTTTGGTTTTGTGATTCTCTTCTTTAGGAGATGCTAAAATTGGCAGTAGCAATGTCAACCCTTTAAAGAATGATGACTTCACCATGAGGGGTTTACGACGTGATGGGAATGCTGATGATATCTGGACTGCCTCACAAAATTCAAAATCCTGTGGGAAAAGCATTTCCATAGAAACTGCCAATTTAAGAGAATATGCAAGATATGTACTGAGGACTATCTGTCAACAGGTAATTTTAACATTTAATTTATGTTTCATTATGTTTATATGGCTATTTGAGGCTCTGTTTGAAAGAAATGCTCGTTATTAATAGGAACTTGCTCATTGGTGATTCTTTTTTGTCCCTAATGACTTTATTTTGAAATAATTTCAAACTTGCTAAAAAATTGCATTTATAATATAGAATTCTAGCATATCCTTTACATAGATTCATTTTTTTCACTTTTTTTTTGCCACATATACTTTATAATTCTGTTTGTGTGTGTGAATGTGGATGCATATATTTTAATTATATTTTTTTCTGATAAATTTGAGAGCAAATGCAAGGCATCCTTTTTTCCCCCTACCTTTTAATATTTTAGTGTTTATTAAGATAACCCAAACACATTTATCAAAAATCAGGAAAGTTAGCATTGGTACAGTGATTTTTTTTTCTTACTGCAGGCCATATTACAATTTTGTCAGTTGTCCCAATAATATTGGATTTGCTTGAAGTTTCCTGTAGATTAGCTTCAGTATATGTATTCCTGGCTGAGATACTACAGACATAATGTGTTCTTCTCAGTTAAACACATCTGAAGACACATGATGTCCCTTTGCACCTCATTGATGATGTTAATTTTGATGCATCGTACGATTTCAAGATTTTTCTACTGTAGAGTTATCTTTTCCTGTGTAATTGATAAGCAATCTTTGGGGAGACACGTTGAGACAACGCAGATATCCTGCTCCTCATCAATCTGTGCCCATCTCCCATTTAGCATTTGTTTTGATTTATCCAGACTAGTTTTTATTATGATGCCTGCAAAATGTGATTCCCCCCTCCCAAATCTTCCACTCCTTCCACAGTTGTCATTTTGCATTCTACTCTAAGAAAGAATATCCATCTTATCTTCATTCATTCATTTTCTGAATGTGTTAACATATGCTGTCCTTAGCTATTTTATCTTCATGTTCAAATGGTCCTAGTCTGCCCTATGTTGGCTCTTGTGTTATTTCCACACATCTCCATCTTATTTTTTCTTTAAGTAGTTTTTCAGTTTCTGGCCCACCTCTACTTTCCCTACTTCAGTGATACAATTACTCATTCCTCTAAGAAACTATAGTTCTATGTAGTAGATGTTATTTAGAAGTGAGATCTGTCTGAGTACTGTGTTTGTTCACTGCTGTGTGCAGTTTTTGTTTATGGTTCCTAAGCTCTTTCAGCAGACAGAGGAAGGGGGACAATTGATATACCTAAATGTGTGTTTATATGTGTGTGTGTATAATCTTGAGTTCATACTGATAATCTCCAAATCCTACCCCACCAATTTCTCTGCATTTCCCCATTCCATGTGATAGGGTCTTCTTAAACAGCAAGACTTCTGACTTCCAGTAATAACCATTTGCTTGTTTAATTGTATAATACAAGTAGTTTCAGAAGTAGTTCCTGAAGTAATTTCAGAATTACTACAGCTATACCACTAGAAAAAAGAAACCTATTAAAGGAGTTGAATCATATCAATAAATGCTGAGAAAGCATTTGATAGGATTCAGCATTCATGTATGATTAAAACTCTCAATAAAATGAGTATAGAAGAAATATACCTAACATAATAAAAGGATTTGAAGATATTTTTATAGTTCTTTTATCCCTAAGTGATATTGTATTGTGTTATTTAAACTTTCTCCTTGTTATTATGTTGTATTGTGTTATTTAAACTTTCTCCTTCAGTGTGAATATTATTCCTTTGAAATAGAATTGATTTCATTTTTTAATGATTGCATTCAATTTCAATTTCTTTTTTCTTCCCCTAGATCTGACTTTAGTATAGCATGCTTCCAAAGTGAACTGCACAAAAAAGTGCACTCAGAAATGTGTTCTCCCTTTTGCCTTCTACCTTGTGTCTCTCCCTGCCCTAAGTGATCATTTTCATTGTTTTCTGGTTTCTCTTTCCATGTTTCTAAAAAAATTTATCTCTTTTTTAACAAAAATAACATGGCATATCATATATACTTTTTTCACTTCTCTATCAACATATTTTGACAATTTCATTTTTTTTATTAAGGCATTGTTAATTATCAGGCACTTGTACATTTATGTGAGTACCCATTGGAATCATCTAGATTAAAACATTTTTGATGCCTGAAAAATTACTGATACCTGCATCCTACCACCTGAGATTGATTTAATTATGTGATTTGGAGCCAGCATTGAGCCACTGATACAGTGGTTAAGAGACAGACTTCATCTGGAAGAGGTCTGGATTCAAATTGGCCTGTGTTACTGTTGAGGATTTCAGTGTGTTTGCCTTTGAAAAGGTGATAGAAGTTTAAATTGGTAGAAACACTCTGGATAGCAATGCACCTCATCCATCAGTAGCTTGAAATGTTTGCTATATTTTTTGACCTAGAAATTTCGCTTCTGTGAAGTTAGCAGAAGAAAATAATTGTATAGAAAGTAAATGTGCACAATTACTTATTTATAGTAGTAACATTATTAATGATGTCAAAAAGTAAGCCAATTTTCTAATTGTTACACTATGTTCTATTTGGCAGAATATAGTATAATGCTTTCCATAAAAATTATGATGATATAATTCAAATTCATTACCATTATGTAACACATTTTAAAAAATTATTATAAAACAATACCTAGAATAAATTCCCAGTTTCCACTTGAAAAATCTAACAATATGTACTTTCCTTATCTTTTCCTCACTTTTTCTCCTTTTTGTGTGTTTTAATTTTTAAATATTTTCTTTAACCAGAGTTCTACTTGGTATTTTTAAGAAGTCAAGAGTTACTAGAACTTTCATTTTAAGAACTTCCCCCACCTATTTTTCACATACTTTTTTAAACTGGAGTATTCATGTCAGCTTTTCTTGCCATTGTGTGGCATAAGTTTTGTACATATCATATTCACAAATAGAAAGTCTGAGCCTCTCAATCTATCTGCCATTTTATTTTTAGGAATGGGTAGGAGAGCATTGCTTAAAAGAACCAGAAAGATTATGCACAGACAAAGAACTTATATTGGACCCTGTGCTTTCAAATATGCAAGCACAGAAATTACTGCAGCTTATCTGTTATCCTCATGGCATTAAAGAATGTACTGATGGGGACAACCTGCAAAGACAACACATTAAACGCATTCTCCAGGTGAGTGACTTACCAAAAGACTGTGTCTCTGTCATTTGACACAGGCCTGGTGATTATAACAAGAGTTACTGTCTCTTTTATTATTATTGTTATTTTTGATGTTGCTGATTCTTCAGTTAATTCTGATTTTCTGTTTAATTCTGATTTTCTGTTTAATTGCCACATCTTTTTTTTTTTTTTGCTGGGTAGATATAGATAATACATATTGTTTACAGTCATTATATGAATAATATATTAAGTCAGTACTATATACAAAAAATAAGCTTTGTAGAGAGATACAGTCTTAAATATATTATTTTAAAAATATTGAAATCATCTTGGACTGGGTTTGGTTAGATAAACGATTTGGAGCTAAAAATGCTAGTCATTTACTTCCAGTGCCTGAGAGTAACACACATTATTTTAATGTTGCTATTTATCTCTTTGTGTCTACAATATATTTGTAATAGATTTATAAGCCTTTGATCTACATAAAACCCTCTGTTTGTATTATTATTATTCTATTCTTTCTTGAGAGAGGGCATATTGCAAGGAATTATTTTCAAGAAATGTCCAGTATTTGTAATGTGTTCAATCTTTCCATTCTCGCCAGAATCTTGAGCAGTGGACACTGAGGCAGTCTTGGCTAGAACTTCAGTTAATGATCAAACAGTGCTTGAAGGACCCTGTGAGTAGATATTGAAAGCATGCATATAATTTTATGTAAAAAAAAAAACAAAATTGATGTTTGAGGATAAAAGAAAATGTATGTGCTAGTTTTATTCTTTCTAACTCTAGGGCACTGGTTCTGTGGCTGAAATGAACAACTTACTGGACAATATTGCAAAGGCAACAATAGAGGTATTTCAGCAGTCAGCCGACTTGAACAATAGCTCTTCTAGTTCTAGTATGGGCCTCTTCAACCCAAATGGTATCGGAAGTACTGATATAAGTAGCATGAGACAGAGTGGAATAAAGACATTCCTAAGGTATTTTTTCAGTTGTTTTATTGAGCTATCATTAAGGTTTCACATCTAACAGTATATTTTATTTGCATTTGGAATGTGAAGAAAAGAATTACTTGTGCCAGTTATCACTGTTTGATAATGTACTAAAGGGTAATACTGCAGGGGTGGATAATGCCTTAGTGTTCTGACTATAAAGTTAACAAGGCCTATACTCCCTGGACCCACAGATAACACTCAGGATGGGTAATGATTTCTTAATGTTCCCTTTGACTCCTCTGTCCCATGGTATTTATTAGATAAGAAACACTTTTTCTGCCATTTTTATTAATCGATGGTTTTCTACAAATGATAATCATGAAAGGCAGATGGACTTGCATTTTATCATTTTGGGTATAAAATATAGCTGGCAAATTATAAAAATTAAAAAGTAGTTTATTTGTGTGCTTAAACATAGTCAAAACATTATATATTGAACCATGTCAGAAAAACATATTGCTTATTGGACAGAAAGAACTAGTAGTAATCAAAGAACCAGAATCATGGAAAACATTTTATAGGTTAAAAGATATCATTTAATTATAGTTTGCTCCTAGAACTATATACCTTTCCTTGCTTTCCATCAGCATAAGCGGAAAAGTATGTGCAAGAATCTGCTATTTGGCAGGAGGAAAGATTGTGTAGAAGTAAAAGGGAAATTTTAGAATAATCCATGTGTCTTGTGCATGTAAGTTTTGTTTTGAAGTTTCAATTCTAACTATGAGAAGAGAGAAAAAGGATACATCCTTGGGTGTAACACCTGTTTCTGATTTTTAGTTCCTCTGAACGCAGGGGTGTATGGCTGGTGGCCCCTTTGATTGCCAGGCTGCCAACTTCTGTGCAAGGAAGAGTGTTGAAGGCCGCTGGGGAGGAACTAGAGAAGGGTCAGCACTTGGGGTCTTCTTCAAAAAAGGAAAGAGACAGACAAAAACAGAAAAGGTATGTATGGCTGGTGTGTCTCTCTATGTGAGAGTTTAAAGAACAATTGAGGATATTAAGCATCCAGCAGACATTCATGGCAATTGTCCCAGATTCCACTGAAATGTTTTTAAATGGAATTGAAAATATTCTGTTAAGTAGGGCTCGATTCCTAAAATTTCCAAGTTCTTAGATGCAGCATAGTAGTTCTCAACTCTGCCTTTGTACCCAGATCACTGCTGAACTATTTAAAATACCGACTTCTTAGCCTCACATCATCCTTACTGAATGAGATTTAGATATTTACTTAGTTCCTATATTCTGCTTGTAATTATTTCTCACATTTTATGATCTGGGTATTTATTTTTAAAATACATCAAATAATTTTGATTTAAAATACATCAAATAATTTAAAATACATCAAATAATAAAATACATCAAATAATTGTCATGTTGGACCCTGAAATAGCTGTTAATATCTTTAACATTTAGAGCTCTTATTCTAGATCAAATATTAAAAATTAAAATAAGCAACCAAGTTTAATGTTTTTTAATGTATTTTATGCAGAAGAAGAGGTTTCAAATAATTATATTTGAAAATTGGTCGTGTTACTGAGGAATGAACAAAACCACGCACTAACACGAAAGCATGAGTGTAGCACCCTAAGAGTAAAGGGAAGTGACTATTATTTCTTCCATTAAAAAAAAGCTTGACATAAAGGTTTCTTGTCCCCTAATTAATATTTTAACAACAACAGCTGTCATTTTTGAGCTTCTGTGAAATTCTGCCATACATTATAAAATGCATTATGCACATTCATGAACTTTTAAAACCTTATAGCAATCATGCATGGCAGGTGCTTTCATTACACCCTTTTTACAGATGAAGAAACCGAGATACTAAAGCCAAAGTAAAATTCTCAAGAACATACACCTTAGGAGTTGAAAAGCTAGGGTTTAAATCCAGGCAGCTTTTGCTCTTAACTTAGCCTTAGGTTGATAGAGACCTAGCTTTACATATGTTGTTACCTGGCTGTTTCCTCTTTGCCAGTGTTCATTAACCATCCAGATGACTCAATTTTAATTTTCAAAGTGTATTTGCTAATGTATTATGCACATTACCTCACTTCCTACAGGGAAGACAGATAGTATCACAGAGTTTAGAGGTGGCTTTTCCCAAGTCAGTTCCAATTCATTCTGCTGTGGTGTAAGAAAGCTAATTGAAATATTTTGACCTCAATTCTAAGAAATATTTCTTTCCATTGTAGCACTTCGTTTATCAATGTGATTTGTTAGTTGTCCTCTGATAATTGAAGAATATGACTAAAATGCAATTTTAAAATAGAATTTTTACCAGACATGTTTAAAGTCCTTCACAGACAGACAAGACTGTCTGGCAGTGGGCCTCCCCGGTGGTGCAGTGGTTGAGCGCTGGGTTGCGAAGCTACCCGCAGCCTCTGCAGCACCAGTTTGATCCCCGGCTGCTGGGCAAGGGTCCCACATGGTGCACAGACCTCTCCTGCTGCCCGCTGCTCCCCTCAGCAGTGTATTTCATCGGTCTGCCTGTTCTGTTCCCTGCTCTGGCTCTGGTGAATCCTCTCACCCTCCCTTGCTTCTGACTATACCCAGTGCTTATATAAATAAATAAATAAATCTTAAAAAAAAAAAAAAAAAAAAGACTGTCTGGCAGTACTCACGCCAGAGGTCACGGGCGAGCACCCCAGCATTAGAGACCTCATATCTGGGTGCTAATCTTTGCTCTGCCAGTACCCCTCTGATTGGTCTTGAGACATGTACTGAAATGCAAAACAGGAACAACGGACCCTAAAGAAGGAATTTCATGTGAGAGAAATTTTTAACTTTATTCTGGTATATAAATTGATGTCCCTGCCAATTTAGCTTTAAATTCAGCATACTGATATAAAATGCAAATTCTCTTTTCCCTGTCCTTTCTCTACACACCTATGGGATATGAATGCCTTCAAGGGCAGGAAAGCAAATTATTTGAAAATACTACAGTGGCTTTTAGTCTTTTTAGTAGAGATGTGACTTAACTTTTGAAGTAGTCTTTGCTATTTGCTACTCCTCTCCCTTTTTTTAATCATAAATAAATAAGAGCAATTAACCCAAGGGCAAGAAGTTATAGGTGCATAGGATGTAGTTCATTCTTGCTAACTGGATTTGCTGTTATTACTTCCTTTATAGTATGTCTCTTTTGAGTCAGCAACCTTTCCTCTCACTGGTCCTTACCTGCCTTAAGGGACAAGATGAACAACGGGAAGGCCTCCTGACATCTCTCCAGAATCAAGTTAATCAGGTAAAGTATAGTAGAAATTAAGCCAGGCAAGTGGTTTCCTAATGTCACTAATTTGTTTTCCTTTCAAATACTGAGATTAAACTAATAAGGGCACAGCATGTTTTGATTAGATGCAAGTTGACACAGTCCATGCCCTTATCTCCTACCTAGTATCCTAGTAACCACAAGATCAACAGTTTTACAATATTAATTATGCATTAGATAAGAATCAATAACCTGTATAAGTAGCATTTTGCATATAACCTTGATGATTCTGTTTGTTTCCTGATCCTGTTTTATGGAAGAGATCCTGGAGCAATCTGTGTTGCAGTCAGTGTGACAGTGGTACAGAGGAGCTGTATTCAAGTCCTCAAGCTGGACTTGTACATATCAAGCAGGGTCTCAGCTTGAGCCCTATAGAGTCAGAAGCTCAATTTTATTTTCCGTCAAGAGCTAGTGTATTGCCAGTCAAATGCATAGGATATTCACTTTAAAAAAAAAAAAAAAGATTTATTTATTTATATATACAAGAACCAGGGCACAGGCCAGATGTGTGGGAGTGGGAGAGGATTCACCAGAGTCAGAGTGGGGAACAGAACAGGTAGACTGACGAAATACACTGCTGAGGGGAGCAATGGGCGCAACAGGAGAGGTCTTCTGTGCCATGTGGGACCCTCGCTGGCCAACTGGGATCGAACTGGCGCTACAGAGGCTGCAGACAGCTTCACAGCACGGTGCTCAACAGCCTGCGCCACCAAGGGAGGCCCAATATTCACTTTTAAATCAGAGAGAATATTGGGTCTTTTACAAAGAATTTGCTTTTTTTTGGTTTTTAAGATTTTTTTTAAATGCATACAAGAGGGCCTCCCCAGCCCACAGCCTCTGCAGTGCCAGTTCGATCCCCGGCCACTGGCGAGGGTCCCACATGGCACTACAGACCTCTCCTGCCACACCCGCTGCTCCCCTTAGCAGTGTATTTCTTTGTCAGTCTGCCTGTTCTGTTTCCCACTCTGTCTCTGGTGAATTCTCTCACCCTCCCACGCTTCTGACTGTACCCAGTGCTTGTATAAATAAATAAATCCTAAAAATAAATAAATAAATAAATGCATAAAAGAAGTGGGGTGTAGGACAAGAGGTATGGGGTGGTGAGAGGATTTACCAGAGAGAGTGGGGAGCAGAACAGAAAAATCTATGCATACAGACTGCTGAGGGGAGCAGCGGATAGGACAGAAGTCTGCTGCACCATATGTGGGTCAGCTTCCCGGCCAGGGATCGAACTCATGCTACTGTGGCTGGTGATAGCTTGATAGTGCTGAAACTTGAACCCCCTGTGCAACAGGGAGACCCCCATTTGCAAAGAGTTTGAACTGGAACTTTTCACCAGCCATGGTTCTCCTGGCCACTATTTGGGATGCTTGCATTCCATGTACCAGAAGGAAATTGTGTGGCCAAGTTAGAATTTGACGAGTGTGTAAACAAAATGGGAAAATAGTTTCATCATGCTGGAAGTTTTATCTGCAGAGCTATGGAACCTGATGGAGCTCTCTTGTGGTACTGTGCTTCTATGACACCCTGCCTTTCCTTGAGTGGTACTGCATAGATATGAACAAGGACACTTGTTTCATTGTCATCTCCTGCTTTTGGATAGGAGAGATTTATCCTCTACATAACAAGTTACAGTGTTCCCATAATACACTTAATGATGTAAATCACATATTAGTCCAGTGTCTGCAGTGCTCAAATGTTTCTCACTATACCTAGAGTAAAAATCCAGAGTCTGCACTTAGAGGGGCCTACATCATTTACACTGGCTCCCACTTCTACCTTGTTTTCCAAATCATGGCTTTGCTTACTCCATTCATTTCACAGCAGCATGTTGCTGTAACTTGAACTTGGCAAACAAAATCTTGTTTCAGTGCCTTTGCATATTTTCTTCTTTTCACCTGGAAGACTTCTTTATCAAATCAGCTCTTGATCAGATGTCACCTCCTTCAGAGAGGCCCTCCCGGATCACAAAATAGAGAATCACAGTAATTTTCTGTCCCCTTATCCTGGATCATACTACTTGTCACACTTATTTTTATTTGCCCTGCTTCTCAAATATAAGCTCCATGACAGCCTGCATATTTTCTTAACCTCCTTAAGGCAGCCTTGGGAGAGGTGCCTGTCTTTTCATGAGTGCTCAACTCTCTCCTTGCAGTATACTTATAGGTCATCTGTTGGGCTGGGTTACTTCTGCATGTGACTCATTTCAACTCTTTAAGATGATTCTCATTAGCTGCTATTTTTCAGAGCATGAGAGTGTTTTGCTTATATCATCTGATTCTGGGTTATTTCTCACTTGTGGTTTGTGGTTTGCCTTTCCTAAGCAAACCTTCCCTTCCCCAAATTAGCCTGAGTCAGTGAGGAAATACCCCTTTTATAAATGGATATGCCACAAAGCAGTATACAATTTCCAATTTTTAAGATAGCAAGTTACCCCTTCAATAAAACATCAACATAATGAATTTGCTAAGATTCATAACCTGTCTTTATAATATATGATGAGACTTATAGAAAATGTCATTTTTATCTCTCCAATACTTTCTAAGGATAGTGAAATGTATTGAAAAATAGTTTCTATTTTTATTAATGTTTAACTTGATGGCCCTCTAAAGCACTTTTTAAGACTTAGGATTAAGATATCTAATAGATAGGATTTCCGTCCTACCTGGAAAGACAACAAAGAAATAGCCAGATTTCTGCATGTGTGGAAGAATAGGAGAAAAACTAGTTTTATTTTAGCTTTGTTAATTTGTTTAACTAAGATGCTTTCTTTGTTTTGGGCTTTTTTGGTCAGTAGAAAACTCAATTTAACTTTATGAGAAAAAGTCAATTTTAGCAGAGAAAGCAGTGTGTTTTCATTTATTTTATTTTTTAGATTTTAAGTAACTGGAGAGAGGAACGATATCAAGATGACATGAGAGCACGGCAGATGATGCATGAAGCATTGCAGCTACGTCTGAATTTGGTGAGAAACGTTTCTAGTATTTTCTCTTTGTAACACTCTGTAAATGTGAAAATAATTGTAGCTTTCCATTCCTACCATGGTCAGTCCTTATTACAAAGTGAGACCTTCTGCTCTTTGTTTTCTAACTACTTCCCTGTCCTTCTTGTCTGGTGTGTTTTCTAGACAGGTTGTATTTTACACATCAATTTGCCTTCTACAACCCTCACCCCAGAGAATCTCTCCTTTTCAGTTTGTGCTAAAAGTAGCTTTGAGTTGATGTACAGTTAATCCTTGAACAATAGTGGGCTAAAGGAGCCCCCACTCCTGGTATAATTTTTAGTCAGGACCATGGTATCCAGTTCCAGAATCTCTGAACAGGAAAAAAAAAAAAATCTTTGTGTAAATGGACCTGCACAGTCTAAACCCATGTTGTTCAAGGGTCAACTGGACTATTTTGATATATGGTTATCTTTCTCTGTACTTTTTTGAAGACTGTGTAAAAACATCTTTTAAGTTTTCTCCAACTTTCCACTAAATTGGTCATAAAAACAGATACCACAGGGAGATTTTTACAGAAATTTAAAATTTCTCACACATTAAACATTCCTTTGAATTTTTCTTTTCCCATTGGACAGGCTCAACTAAGGGAAGGCTACCTTGGGGGTTGACTTTCCTAATACTTGACACATTAGTACAAGTAAATGTGGGTGGTGTACTGCCTGCATATCATTGCTTCTGTTACTGGGCATTTCCAAGTGTTTTTATGACAATAGTCATAGATTAAATAGTGATTGAATAACCCAAACTTGTAAATAATGGTAGTATATGGTTTTGATCTACTCAGATTTAATTGAGTAAAACTGCATCATGAAATTGGATAGTATGACAAATTTGCAACAACAAAAATTAATTATACTTGTCACTAATTGACAGTGTGCTCACACTTAAGTACTCTTTTCTTTTTTTTGAGGGGTGGGGTGACTAAATTTCTCCACTAAAGGAACCAAAAAGAATGACAAATACATAAATAGGTGAGAGAGAAAACAGGATAACTTATAAACTAGAGGTTGTTTTTTTTTTTTAACTAATCTAAATTTGGCTGCATAAACTGATGGGAGTGACATTTTCTCTGTAACATAAAGCAGTATTATCTTGTATTTATGTGTCAGGTAGGAGGAATGTTTGACACTGTACAGCGGAGCAGCCAGTGGACAACAGACTGGGCACTCCTCCTCCTGCAGATCATCACTTCTGGAACTGTCGACATGCACACTAACAAGTACGTTGTTATCACTTCATGTGTACTCTGCTACATGTCTGCATGTTAGAAGCTTTGTCATAGTGACTACACATTCTACCACATTTTATTTTCTTAGGTACTGCTCAATATTCTATGCCTTAAGTAAAAATGCTCACTTAGTTAAAGAATATATTGGTTTGGGCCTCCCCGGTGGCGCAGCCGTTGAGCGCTGGGTTGCGAACCTGCCCGAGGCCTCCGCGGCGCTGGTTCGATCCCCGGCTGCTCCCCAGCCACCGGAGGAGGGTCCCACATGGCGCGCAGACCTCTCCTGCCGCCCGCTGCTCCCCTCAGCAGTGTACTTCGGTCCTTCTGCCTGCTCTGCTCCCCGCTCTGGCTCTGGTGAATTCTCTCACCCTCCCGCGCTTCTGACTCTACCCAGTGCTTGTATAAACAAAAAACAAACAAACAAATAAATAAATAAACATGCCTCTATAAAATTTAAAAAAAAAAAAAAAAAGAATATATTGGTTTGGCTTTAAGGTGAAAATAATTATTTTCTTTCCCCTCTTAGTGATTTATTCACAACGGTTCTTGACATGTTGGGTGTTTTAATCAATGGGACATTAGCCTCTGACCTATCTAATGCATCTCCAGGAGGCTCTGAAGAGAACAAACGTGCATACATGAATTTAGTAAAAAAATTGAAAGTAAGTTGTGACCTGCTTATATTATGAGCTCAAGTTGTTAAGTATTTTTTATTTAGGCCATGTTATCCTTATTTGAGGTTCATTAAATTAAATGTTATTTATTATATTTAAGTAAATTTAATATGATTGTTTTGCTGTTTGCTTTACCTCAGTTTACCAGTACCCAAAATCTTCAGCACATAGCTTGACGATTTTTCTTTTAAAAAAATTATATTCTCAAAGACTGTTTAATTTTTGAGGGACCATAGAAATCTGATATCAAATATCTAACCAAAATATCAACATAAGGTTTAGGGTAAATCCATGCTTGGCTTGGCACTTGTAATTGAAAAATAACTATTTGCATTGTTATTTCTAAATTTGATTAATTTAACTAATCATTTACATAATCTCTGATATAAACTATAAACAGAATCAGTTTGGGGGAAAAAATCTGATAACTTTACTAATAAAATAAGCAGTCCTTACCTTGTGATCTGATCCTGGATTCCAGATGGATTCTGTTGTGTCTTCTGTCTTTTGATTGCAAATACTGCCCTGGATTTTTGTCATTTCAGCACTGTGGTATCTGTTGTATAACTAAGGTCTCTTCATATGTGTTCTCTTTTTTACTTAAATAGAAGAAATGAAACATACTACTCTAATTGGAGCTGCAGTATAGACCATGTTCACAGTTAAGGAATATCTGAACTACAAAAAAGGAAATGTTTCATAAGGGAACTTCCTTCTTGTTAACTTTGCCTTTATTGTAATTTCTATCTTATTTCTCTCTCTTTCTTTCTCTTTCTCTCTCTGTATCTCTCTTTTGTAGAAAGAACTAGGGGACAAGCGGTCAGAAAGTATTGACAAAGTTCGACAGTTGCTACCTTTGCCGAAACAGACATGTGATATCATCACTTGTGAACCTATGGGTTCCTTGATTGACACAAAGGGAAACAAAATTGCAGGATTCGACTCAATAGATAAAAAACAGGCAAGAGTAAATGTTTTTTTCTTATATAAATACCTAAATTCATAACAAAATACATTTTTATTTTTATAGAATATATAAAATACTCAATTGTACAGTTTCTTGATTTTTTTTTGCAGAGTATATTCTTTTAATTTAAATGCAGCTGTCATATAAATAGATGAAATCTTTGAAGATCTTCATTTAAAACTTTGAATTTAAGTGAATTTTTGAAGTCCATAAAGTGTTTAAAAAATAATTAAAAAGACCAGATCCACATCTTCATGTATTAAATTATCTTGAGAAAAAAATATTTTAGAAGTAAAGATGCTTCATTTTTTATTGGTCAAACAATATTAAATGAACTTATTTTATATAAGGTATAAGAGAAGTTTCTCTAAAATATGGTAAGAGTTGTCATTCTTTGAATGAATGTTGACCAGCCACAGACTTCCAAAATCACAGATATAAAGACAGTTTTTTTTACCTAAACAGAAATAGAGAGACAGAGATTTGCAGTGTAGTGGGATTTGTATATAATGGTACAGAGAGGGTAACTGGGAAGAAACCTCAGATTAGGGGTAACAGTCACAGCCGTGTACCCAGGAAAATTAGCACTTATATTATTAGCAGGATGTAGGAAAAAGTATGTACAGACTAAGTGAAGAGTTTATGAAGAGGTGTTAAACCCCCTGGCTCATAGGAGAAATATAATGTTGCATTAGTTCATGGTAACCTGAGTACTTACACCGGTGTGCTATGAGAGAGAAAAAAACTAAAAGACAAGTTGAATTTGCAATACCAATGCACTCTGCACTGATGAGAAACCTAGAATTCATTTGGATGTGTTTTCTTGGCACTAGGGAAGAGGTCTAATCTGAAGGTAAGTGTTAGGGGACAGTCAGCTTATAAATGGTAACTGAGCCTTGGTTTTACATGAAGCCACTCATAGAAAAGCATGTGCAGATAAGATCCTCTATTTTGATGGTCATTTGAGAAATATTTTCAAATTGTATGCTAGGGAAAGTACCAAGAGATATGACCAATTAATATAAAATATAAGGAACTTATTTGCAGGGAAAGAGTGACATATCATCTTATAATTCAGTAGTGAAAAGCTTGGTTTGAATGATTTTATTTGTACCTGTTGTTACACATTACTTTTGGAATAATATTGTGTAACTGTTTATAGTAAGTGTGACTTATGAAGTCCTTGAAAGGTTCTTAAATTAAGTTTGAATCAATTCCATACATGCTTGGATTAAAGTTAAGAGACTGACTAGAACGTGAATCATATTCTTTGTATTTGCTTAAAAATATTAGAGTCCAGGTTTTGATTATAATTTAGAACACCAAGATCAACTTTGCAGTGTTTTTTGATTTTTTTCCCTAAAAAAATGAATGAAAAAATGCCATTTATAGTGAAAAAACTGGATTTTCTGGTGGTGGATGGGTAGACACAGAGCATGGCATCACGTGGTATTAAAAAAAACCAAAGGCCGAACTTATTGGGCTTAATGTAACCATTCTTGACTAATTGCCAACCTGCAGAACTTGTGGTCATAGAACATTGTTTCACCACAGGGTCTCCAGGTCTCTACCAAGCAGAAGGTGTCTCCTTGGGATTTATTTGAGGGTCAGAAGAACCCGGCCCCTCTGTCCTGGGCCTGGTTTGGCACAGTGCGCGTGGACCGGAAGGTGGTCAAGTATGAGGAGCAGCATCATCTGCTTCTCTATCACACACACCCCATGCCTAAGCCCCGAAGTTACTACCTCGAGCCACTGCCCCTCCCTCCTGAGGAGGAAGAGGAAGAGCCCACATCTCCCATCTCTCAGGAACCAGAGAGGAAATCAGCTGAGCTGTCCGATCAGGGAAAACCCACAACAGACGAAGAGAAGAAAACCAAAGGAAGGAAGCGCAAGACAAAATCCAGCTCAAGAGTGGATGTAAGTATAGGAAGTGGAGAGATCCTTGGCTTGTGAGCATCTAGTAGAGTGACTGAATACTGCCTGAATTGTCCCTCTAGAAACATTAGTATAAGTTTTTATTTTAAAGCTATTATACTAGCAATCTCTGCTGAAATTAACAGAATGGTATACAAATGGTGATTTATCACAAGTGACAGGACTAATAGCTTTTGAATTTTCCTCCTCTACTTGCCATAACGTTTAATTTTAGACTTCCTTTGTGAATGACATTTAATATTTGAGTGTCTCACAATTTCAGATTTGAAGCTTAAATTTATTAGACTTATGAAATCTCATCCTTTTTTCATATTTTTATTATAAGGGATGCTAAAATATATAATGTATTTTGGGCAATTGATAATTGTAACAAATTAACATGAAAAGCTGCTTTTCCTTAGATGTAGCTCATCTAATATATCCCACAGAATGTTTCTGAGGTGTCATATTTTACCATTTCATCTTAACTCCTCTTTCCTATATTTATGTCCTATTTTCAGTCTTTATAAGAGGTCAAAGAAACATGATTAAAAATTGTTTTTTACTTCCTGTTTCCCTATTAGCATTCCTTATCTGTAGCAAATCATTGTTGAAAATAATAGAAATCTGTGAGACAGCAATTCAATTTAAAAATAATTTTATAGAATTTATGAATTAATGTGTAAAATATTTCCATATAAATTAGCCTGGAAAATACTTGAGAGAATTTGAATCATTTTCCTGTAAAATTTAAATTTTACTTATACAGCAGAAGAAATATTCATAATTTACTGCCCAGATATCATGAATAATTATTACTACTTTTCACCTATGTTGAAACCAAAACATCATTTCCTAGCTTGGTGATTTTTATTCTACAAATGACTGTCATCACTTTGGATGCCACTTGAACATTATTGCCATCTTCCTGTATAGTCTTCCTACTATTATTCCTTTGTCTTGAAAAGGGTACTCAATAAGGTCCAGACACCAGTCTGGGTTCTCCTGGCTTGTGAATCCACGTGGATGGATATTTGTTTTTTTTTTCAGATGCAAAAAGCCTAAAACTCATTTTGTTTCACAAGTGGCCCTGGTCCTTCTACCCTTAATACTTCTGAAGCTGCCTCTTCCTAAAAGTGTATATTGTAGGGAACTGAGATTTGGTTTTTCTTTCATCCTTTAGAGTTGGACTAGAGAAAAAAGGAGGGTGGAGTTGTTGAGACATTCAGATATGATCCTGAGAGATTCTGCAGCTTCTATAAGGAAGAGGAAGCCATGGACAGGAGTGGATAGATAGAAGGGGACTACCAGGAAAGGACAGGACTCTACTTCTTTAGAGTGCTGTCCTGAAAATTGGAAATACAGAGACTGCTGGGCGGGCACTGGTTCTGAAGGACTGTGGGCCTTCCTGGTGTATTTCTGACAGAGACCTAAGGAATCAGGAAGACCTTCTAAAGTGAATGACTGGAAATCTTGACTGACAACACTTGACTGAAAAAAACTGAAGGTGCTCTTTCCTATTGTGGATGGTCAATATTGGTATTCTGTATGTGTTTTGGTACTTTAAAACAAGACTTCAGAAAATATACTTGCCCATCTCCCTCTATTGCAGTCAAGTTCTTTATAAGTCAAGAAAAATTTTTAACACAAATCAGTGAATGCATTGCTACTCTTTTTTTCAGTATTCCTCTTTATAAAAATTACCTTGTTTGCTGGCATAGTAGTTATCACCAATAACTTGATAGGAAAATTTGCATTATTTCTTCATGTGATACATGAAGTTAAGTAACTTTTTTTTTTTTTAACTTATGTTGAAGGAGTATCCACAGAGCAACATATACCGAGTGCCTCCTAATTACTCACCGATTTCCTCTCAGATGATGCACCATCCACAGTCTACCTTGTGGGGCTACAATCTCATGGGTCAGCCTCAGCAGCCTGGCTTCTTCCTGCAGAACCAATCTCTTACTCCAGGTAATACTGAGCCACTCTGGGATGAGAAATAGCTTAGAATTCTCTCTGCTTTTAACCTGAAGACTCCACAAAACTTGGAAAGGTCAAGAACTGAGTGCCTAGTTGACATGTACTTGACATGTTTTTTCTCCTGCTATAATCAGATTTCAATTATGAATTTATATACTAGTTTTGGAATTCTCATCCAGTGATAGAAGGAAATTGACCACTGAAGGAATTCTAATATAGAATATATAAAGTTAATAAAAGCTTTGTTGTGAAATTCTTACACCTTTTGAACATATATAATTCTTGAAATTTGGTTCACCAAGTAGATTTATTAATGAGGAAAACTACCATATTGATAGAAATTCTCCTCACTATAGTATTGCTTTGATTCAAGCTTTAGATTTTATATTCAGATTGAAGATTTTCTAAATAAAATATTAGAATGAATTTAATTTTCTTTACAAGTGAAAGTTCGCGTATTATAGTGAAACAGATTTATTTTGAGAGCTCAGTCTTCATTTTGTTAGGATATGCCATTCTAACAAATAATTTTTTTATTGTATTCTTAGCTACATTGTGATTTTTCTTGTAAGTGGAATACGACATTGTGAAGCATAGAGAAGAAAAAGTTTATTCTTCACTAACATCAAAGGAGAATCCATATTTTCTTTTTAAGATTTATTTTATTTATACAAGAACCGGGGTACAGGCCAGATGTGCGGGAGGGTGAGAGGACTCACCAGAGACAGAGCGGGGAACAGAACAGGCAGACTGACAAAATACACCGCTGAGGGGAGCAGTGGGCGAGACAGGAGAGGTCTGCCACACCATGTGGGATTCTCGCTGGCCGGCCGGGATCAAACCTGCGCTACAGAGGCTGTGGATAGCTTCACAGTGCGCCGCTCAACCGCCTGCACCACCAGGAAGGCCCCATATTTTGTTGTTTAAATTGATGGTTAAGAAAGCTGGTTGGTAACTAGCGCCCTTGGTTCAAATCTGGCTCTGCCACCCTCTTCTGTATAGTCTCAGTTTTGTAGTTTCTCTTTGTTTCAACTTGGTCATTTGTGAAATGGATATGCTACTATATATGCCCTCAGAGATGGGCAACTCAGGTATTCACTCAGCAGACTGTTTTAAGCTTCACAGGGTGCTAGACTTCATGAAGTCTAGTAGTAAAAAGACTGGAAAAAGTGTCTAATTTTTTTTTAAAGATTGATTTATTTTTATACAAGAGCTGGGGTACAGGCCAGAGGCGCGGGAGGGTGAGAGGATTCACCAAAGGCAGAGCAGGGAACAGAAAAGGTAGACGACAGAAATACACTGCTGAGGGGAGCAGAGGGCGCTATAGTAGAGGTCTGCCATGCCATGTGGGACCCTCACCGTCAGCTGGGATTGAACACGCACTGCGGAGGTTGCGGATAGCCTCACAACACGGCGCTCAACCCTCTGCGCCACCGGGGAGGCCCTCTATTAATTTTTTGAAGGATGAAATAAGGTTTCTATTACATATGTATGTGCACACACACACACACAGTTTAAAGGAAATTTTAAAGATATAGCACTTGGAAGATAGCCTAGTATGGAAAATGTGTTCAGTAAATGATTTTATGTTTCTTTTAAAGATTTATTTATTTATTTATTTATGCATGGAAGAACTGGGGTGTAGGCCAGAAGTGTGGGGGGTAGGGTGAGAGGAATCACTGGAGTCAGAGTGCGGAGCAGAACAGGCAGATCTACCGAAATACACTGCTAAGGGGAGAGCAGTGTGAGAGACAGAAGAGGTCTGCTGCACCATATGTGGACTAGCACTGGCCTGCGATCAAACTCAAGCAATAGGCCACCAGGGAGGCCCAAAGGATTTTAATATATTCCCACCTCAGGGGTTTTGCACTTGCTGGTTCCTTTACCTGGAACACTCCCCCTCAGTTACCTACATGGCTCACTCCCTGTCTTGGAGATTGGTCAGGTACTACTTTCTCAGTGAGGATTCCTTAGCTTCCCTGTTTTAAATTATAAATCATACCTCTTCCATTCTTTCTAGTTCTCCATAGCATCAGCACTGGTTTGTATAAGTGTATATTTTACTTACTGATGTCTTGTCTGCCTGCTCCAGATTCTAAGCTCTATGAAATATTTTTTCTGTTATGTTTACTATAGTATTCCCAAGAACATAGAGTAGCATCTGATTTCTGCAGTTATTCATTGCTTAATATTTGGGATATATTCTGAGAAATACATCATTAGGTGAGTTCATCATTTTGTGTTAATGTCATAGGGAGCAATTACACAAACCTGGTATATATAGCTTATTACACACCAAGACTATACAGTATAAACTTTCAGGACAACCATTGTATATGCTCTGATACATCTTTGGTCAAAATGTCATTAAGTGATTTATGATTGTAGGTTCTTAAAAATAAGAGCAACTAGACTTAATGATCAATGTGGAATAAAACACATAAGTGTCTTCTCTTTGAACTTCTCTTTTCAATTCCAAGTTCCTTGTGATTTTTTAGCATTTTTAAACTCTCTAGATACTCCAGTAAAACACAAGGACTGTGTATGGATTAAAGGCCACCAATTTTATAAAGGCTCATATCTTCTTCCCCTAAAATGGTATAAAAGGTTTAGAAATTTAAAAGTTTTAGGTAAATCTTAAGTATGAGAACATGTAAGGGAAAAAATTGAACAAAGAAATTATTTATAACGACTTTATGTGACTTGGGCCTTCCCTGGTGGCGCAGGTGGTTGAGCGCAGTGCTGTGATGCTGTCCACAGCATCTGCAGCACCAGTTCAATCCCTGCCGGCTGGGAGGGTCCAATATGGCACGGCAGACCTCTCCTATCATGCCCGCTGCTCCCCTCAGCAGTGTATTTTGTCAGTCTGCCTGTTCTGTTCCCCACTTTGTCTCTGGTGAATCCTCTCACCCTCCCGCGCATTTAGCCTGTACCCTGGTTCTTGTATAAAATGAATAAATAAATCTTAAAAAAAAAAAGACTTTATATGAATCAATGGATTTTCATAAAAATATGAATCCTATGGAGTTAAAGAGGAATGTGTACAGTTTGCTTCCATTCATATATAGCTAAAAATTAAAATAGTGTCCGCAGCCCTTACACATTGCTCACTTTCTCTTTGTATATATTGATATGATAAAGTTATAAGGAAATATATGGTAATAATAATGATTTTGTGCTTGTGTGTGTGTGTGTGTGTGTGTGTGTGTGTGTGTGTAGAAGAACTGGGGTGTAGGTCAGAGGTGTTGGAGGAGTGAAAGGATTCATCAGAGACAGAGTGGGGAGCAGAACAGAAGGATCTACTGAAATGCACTGCTGAGGGATGCAGCTGGAGAGGTGTGGTAATAGAGCAACAGGAGATGTCTGCTGCGCCATGTGGGTCAGTTGCCTGGCTAGGGATCAAATCAGGCCATAGTGGTGATAGCCATGAGACTTAACCCCTAGGTCACCAAGAAGGCCTGGTAATAATAATGATTAATTAATTATAATTATTAAAATTGAGGCAATGGAGAGGAAGGTAATTATGTAGAAATGTACAGAGGATTTCAGCCATATATTATATGTCAGTTGAGTCAAAAGTATAAGTTATAGAAAAGTTAGGAAAATTAAAAGAAAGTAGTCTACCTTTGAAAAGATTTTCCTTTTCTTTAAAATGAGTCGACTCAGTTTTTATGTTTCAGTTTAGCTCCAATTCTTACCTTTTTTTTTTTTAAGATTTATTTTTATACAAGAGCTGGGGTACAGGCCTGAGGCATGGGAGGGTGAGAGGATTCACCAGAGACAGAGCGGGGAGTAAAACATGCAGACAGACCAAAATACACTTCTGAGGGGAGCAGCGGGCATGACAAGAGAGGTCTGCTGCAACATGTGGGAATCTCCCTGGCCAGCCAGGAATCAAACCTATGCTGCAGAGGCTGCAGACAGCTTCATAGTGCTGTGTTCAACCCGCTGCACCACCAGGGAAGCCCCCCAGTTCTTGCTTTAACAGAAGTTTCCTTGCCATATGTTACTCAAATTGACTTTTCATTTTTTTTCCAAATGATTTTCAAATGCCTCAGAATGACTTCATGCATATATTGCTGATTGTAGTACTGAGTCTTTTAAAAGAATGTGGGGTTTTTCTATTAATAGATAGCTTTAAAATATTTGTTTCCATCATATAATGGTTTAAATATATCTTTTGTGTGGTATTTATATACAAGATTTCTTATTCACATATATTAAGAAACATAGACAATCTGGTAAATGAAAGATAGGTCCTACTATGAAATCAGCAAATGTTGAAAGACTTTTCCCTAAAAACTTTAAAAGGCATTTGACAAATTATATATGCAAATATGTAAAGGATTTTTCTTTGGTTTCATAAGGACCACTATAATCAATGTTCTTTATGTGATTTCTAGCCTTAAAAAATTCATTTTTGTCTTTGAAATCTTGGTACTTGAGGTTTGCCAGCATTTCAAGCTTCTCAAGTACTCTTTATGCCTCTGTTCTACCAAATAGGCTTTTTCATTTTGCCGTGATAAAGAAGCTTAAATGCCAGGAGTTTAAAATTTGTTTAACATTACGAAAGCATTTTTGTGCCGGACTTGAACACTTGGCAAAACACATCACAAAGGCAATACATTTTATACAAATAATATGTTTTTAAGGACCTTGCATAATTTAAAATCTCATGATTCCAAAGTCATACTTAGAACACTGTTTCAGTTTATCAACTGAAGTGGGATCTCCAGTGAAGTCATTAAGATATTGTAATTCACTCCTATGTTACTTTCCCCATCCTTTGGAAATAATGCCACTCTTCTTAGTAGGTCTTTAATATGTGTATGGGAGTGGGACAGTGCCTTATTTTCCATTTTACTCATAAAATGAGGTTTACAAGGTGAGGTTTTTGTTTCCATAGAATAAGAAACACCTTTTGCATTAACATATGTAGAAAGCCCTTCCTTCTGGTTGCTTTTGTAGGTGGCTCCAGATTGGACCCACGGGCTCCTTTGTCCCAACTAATACCAAACAAGCTCTGTCGAACATGCTGCAGCGGCGCTCAGGTGCCATGATGCAGCCACCCTCTCTGCACGCAATCACATCCCAGCAGCAGTTGATACAGATGAAGCTTCTGCAACAACAGCAGCAGCAGCAGCAGCGGCTTCTCAGGCAAGCCCAGACTCGACCTTTCCAACAGGTTTGTCCAGACCCAGCCAGGGAGTTCTCTCTTTCATTACTTTCTCTGGCTCAGGATGTATGGTGTGTGTGGCATGCTCTTTTGTGTGCATACCCCTATATTGTTGTGTAAGTGCAAGTATATCTCTTGTATAGGATCTTAAATACTTTTCCTCCTTTGTCTTTACTGTTATATGAACTCTAACTGCCTTTAGTTCATTAAAAGTAAAAGAAGAGCTAATGATTTTTTCAGTCATTTAGAGGAGCAGGCCTTTTATCCTTAAAGTGACCTCTACACACTGTTGTAATTACCATGTATTCTGTATTCCTATTAGCCCTACTGTCATGTATTATCATTAGATTTATTACTCTGAAGTTATATCTCTTAGATTTTCTCATTTTCAGTGTATACTTAATAAGATTATAGCAGAATAAATAAATTACAAATAACCATAACTATATGGATACCTTCAATTTTTATTTTTTAATGCCTTATAACCCAATTTTCTTTCATTTTTTGAGATACCAGTAATTGTTTAACAAGCAATGGTGGAGGTCATACAGAACACCGAATACCAAACATTGATGGAACCCATGAATCTGTACTAACATATTGAAATTAAAAGACGGAATTGAGATTTGACTTCCTTTTCTAATTTCTATATACTTTCTGTATATTCCAGTTTTTCTAATATGGGCATACACTATGTTGATAATAATGATAATAGTACTAACAGTAATTAACACTGAGAGAGCACTTACTATTGGTCAAAACACTTTTAAGCACTTTAAATGTATTATTTATTTTAAGTCCCACAGCAACCCTATGAGTAGGTATTTTTATCATCCCTAAAGAACATATTTAATCTGCATGTATATCCTGCTCAAGAAAAAACAGAAGTTCCAACTTAGCAAGAAATTCTAAAGCTTTTACAAGTATTCTTTGTACTTTTGGCTAGTTTCCTAGGCATATCTAATTTATGGCACTTCTGCATTCAGTTTACTTAGCAATTTTGGGAGGTGGGAAAGATTAGCTATATGTTCTTAATAATGGTTCCTTTTTTTTCTACCTAAATTATAAGAAGGACAAGAGAGAGGAAATTAGTTGAAATATGTGAGAATACAAACAAGAGTCACTACATGCTTGTCTTTCCTAATCTCTAGCAACTGCTTAAACTCCCTGGAACCATCAGGTAAGACAGGCCTGAGTTGCTTCTTAACCATTATAAATAATGAAAATTTGGCTTAAATATTTTACAGAATTCATTCTGCTGAAATAAACAGCATATTTGGAGCTATCTAAAATCTCAGTTTGCTTTCATGCCTTCTGGGAGATAAACATAAATAATTATGCCATTGTTATAAATTCCTATTGAAATAAGTAAAAAATTTACTCAGATTTAAAAAACCATCCAACTAGGATGTGTTCATCTCCCTTTTAAAGTAATTTAAGCCTAACTAAAATTTTCCTTCCAGTAAGTAATTTATTATTATTTTTCATACCTACCTTTGAATCACAAGGTGTAATTTGCCTTAGAGACCACTTTCAAAGTATTACTGCTAATACTTTGAATCACTGTAAGTGCTTCCTAGCCAATGCTGGAGGCAAGCTCACTGGGCCAGGGCCATTTATAGGTAAATATGCCTGATCTTCCAAAGCTTCACTTGCTGATATAAACATGACAATTTCCCCAAAACAAACCAAAAAAAAAATTGAAAGAATTTTCATAAATCTTTTACATGTAATATGTAGTGCATATGCAAATATATAATAAAGATGGTGCATATTTGGAGAAGGCAGGCTTATGACCTAAAATGTACCTTGGACACCCTATTCATTACTCTTATACTTTCTTCAAGCTACTCAAAAATTGCTGCTTATACTAATAGGAATTATCTGAGAGTTCATCTTTTTTCTAGCTATTTCTTTTGTGCTAATTGTCATAATCTTTTCTTTTGTGCTAATTGTCATAATCTTTTTTTTTTCATGTTTGCCCTATGAAAAGTCAGGAATTCCATCTTCAAGTAGGTAAAACTCAACTTCATAACTATGGTGGCCCATTAGTTCTTCCTTCCCCATTTTCATTTTAACAGTTGAAACTTGCTTTAGAGTCTCTCAGGACCTTTCAGCACTCAGCCGTGTTTTTTGTCTCTCCCCTTTCTTTATACTGAGGAAAACATTGTTCTTATGAGGAAGAGAAATGCAGACCTGGTTCAGACACAGGTGAAATTGTCCCACACAGTGTAAATATGATAACGTGTATGTAGTAGCTGTTGGCCTGCCTGCTTCTGGGAGGTTCTGAGGAAATGTTAGCTCCTTTCCTCTCTCCTAATAGATGAAATACTAATATACTTGAACTCTAGCCAAGTATGTGTTGTGGCAGGAAAAAAAAATTTCCTTGTGATAATCTTCAAAAATCTGGATTAAGGCAGAATTATATGGAATACTAGTGATATTGGTAAATGATTTTCAATATATGACTCTGAATGCTGATTATTTCTTTTTCCAGTATAGATTAGCATATATCCATCACAGTAAAATGATAGAGAAGTAATTTTAATTTTGGCAGCAACATCATCTCAAGTTAAATACCTACACATGATGTGATTTTCTCTAGCTACATAAAAATTTACAATTTTTTCTCCCAGTTTTTGGCTTCTTACAGGAAATGAAGTAGATATTTTCTCCCTATCCCACCCATTTTCTATTTATAGAAACCATTTTCTTAAATGTGACAAATGTGTTGTAGAATTTCTTTCTCTGTTAACCTTCAAAACTGATTTTGTAACTTTAGCAGATGCATTTAAAGTCTGGCTGATTTCTCTAGGCCTTGTGTGATCAATTGTCCAGTATCCTTCATCAATTGTCCAGTGTCCCTTCTCCATTTCACCCCTCTTCTTATAAGGTCAAACCTTGGGTCTTATGGTATTTGTATCTTTTAGTCTACTGAGCACAGGATATAAATCTATTTATGAAATGAATGAATATTTGTTTTTTGAGCAGCTCTTTCCAGAGGGCTAAAGCTTCTAGTAGCCTTACTCTTTGGCAATCTGTTTATTTACAACTCACCTCATAGCTCTTCCCTCTGAGCATTTTCAGAAATTGCTTCATGCATTGATTCCTGCCATGTTTGTTTTGAAAACATAGACAAGGTAAGGGGGGACATCAATTCCTGAATTCTGGATATGTCTCAGAACTTAGGGGATCCCACTGGGCTCCTCCCATCTGATGGAAGAAAACTGACACATACGGAAATCATCTAACTTTAGGTAGTACACAACAAAAATGAGACTAGCATTATAAAATAACTAATTCTACCACAGAGACTTAATAGTGACTGTAGTTGCTCATGAGATGTTCTGTTATTGATCATCTTACATTTCTTCAGGAAGTTATCAAGATATTTGTTGTGTCTAGAAGATGAGTATTAAATAGCACTGATGTTGCTAAGTACTTTAAATCAGTTTATTTGATATAATGGTCATTAGCATAATGCAGCACATTTCCTTACAGCTTTATTAGTGCATTATCAACACACATAAGGATATTTTGGCAAGGACACTTTTTCGATGGAGTTTTCATGAAGGAAAGTAAAAGTAATTAATCTCCATTTCTTATTCAGTGTCTCTTGTTACCTTTCTGTGCCTCAGAGCCTCTTTATAAAGTGGAGTTAATGTGATATGGGCTTTTTAGGGTTCTTGTGAAATTAATGTTAACAGTAATACATGTAACAGTCCTTAGAATGACTGACTCATAGTAAGTGCTCAAAAAATGCTCCCCTTTTATTATTATTATCTTATGGTTGAATTATTTCAGAGGAAATCCCTTTCCCATGAAAATGGTTTTTATTTTCTTAGATATGTTAATGATTAAAAGAGGATATAAACACATCTAATGCTTTGTGCAATTGTCTTAATTGCTCCTAAAAGATTGATACTCAGTGGTCACCAGTCAAAAGACTAATGAAAAGGGATGCTCTTTAGTTTCTCCTGTAGCCATTTTGGTTCCTTAGAGAGGTATATTTTTACTGTCTGAAATCTTTAATTCAATCTTTACAGGAGCGGATTCCAATTTATTGTTAAAAATATTGCTTTTTATTTTCTTGATATTCCTTTTATTTTCTTTATAGCCTAAATGTAGAATATTGTTATAACACAAAATGCTACTTAAATTGTTCACCACTCACTGTTTTCATACATCCAGTATTTTTCTTCTGAGACAAGAACCTCTTTCCTACTCTCACCACATCAGTCATCTAGGGATGATTCTTTGGGAGAAGGACTCTTAAGATTTGACCCAGAAAAAGAAATTAATTTTATGCCTTGATTTATAGTATCATTTTATCTTAATTATTTCCTTTCATTACACTAAATCATTTTGTTGTTCTTTATAATAATGTAAGACATATTATATTTGAGACTCCAAAGAAAGCTAGCCAAAAGATATAGAGCTTAAATTAAGACAAACTTGGAAGAAATTGTTTATAGACTATAGAAAATGAATTAAAAGAATTTCATATCAGTAAAGAGGATTTCTGACAGAGGACAGATGTGTGTTTCCTTCCTTGGCTCCTTCCCTCTTGCTCATTCTTCAACATTCAAACATGCATATAAACGTGCAATAGAAAAATCAACAAGCAACTATAAACCAGAGACACAATACGGGTGGGGTAGGGAGGAGGGAGTAGGATGAAAACAAGGAGGGGGTGGGAATTGTATGGGGACTATAACCATGGTGAAAATGCATACATTGTGCAAAAATGAAAAGTGATGTAAAAAATATATAAAATAAAATAAAAATGACAATCTACTGGCAGAAATTTTAATCTAGAAGGAAAAAAGTACAATGGAAAATATAACAAACATTAATATAACAGGCAAAATACAGCAAACATTAAATCATGTTCTGTCTTAGATCATTTTTAAAAGGTAAAACATTATAGATATCAATGAGCTCCTTGCCCTTGCTCATTTTCCTTCTTTTCCATAAAGAGGTATTCACATTCTTAAATTTTAGTGTTT